CTCCTCTCTCCTCTCTCCTCTCTCCTCTCCTCTCCTCTCCTCTCCCATCCCATCCCCTCTCCTCTCCTCTCCTCTCCTCTCCTCTCTCCTCTCCCCTCCCCTCCCTCTCTGTCTCTGTCCTTCCCTTTCCGTCGGTCGGTCTGTCTGTCTGTCTCATCTGTGTCATCTGTCTCATCTATTTCATCTATCTCATCTATCTCCTCAATCTAATCTATCTAAATTATCTAATCGATCCATCTAATCTAATTAATCTATCTAATCTATCCATATAATCTAATTCATCTGTCTAATCTAAGCTAATCAAATCAATTCTAATCTAATCTAATCCATCCATCCATCCATCTATCTTATATATCTAAAAGATCAAATCAGATGTTGTCTTATCTACCTATTATATATATATATTTCTCTCTCTCTCTCCTATAGGCTGAAAGAATTATAGATGAAGATGAGGATGGAGAAGGTGACGCTTTAGATGTGTAGACATGTCCTGATCGTATTGAATATAGAGAGAATTTTGCTCATTATCCTCCGGTATCGACCAGCCATTTTGTGGTTTCGTAAAGGGAAAATCACCAATCATCCCTTTAGTATGAAGAGCAAAACTCATCTTTGAAGCCCCGAAGTAAAGGGAAAGCTATCGGTAGTTTAGAGAAAATTTACTTGGGAAGCTTGGGTAGATTAGACACTGGTAGATCTGTTATTTAGCTATATAATTTGATTATACACCAATAATCTGCACCAAGGATTAATTACCAATCCGAAGTCATTACTAGATTTACTAGTTACGCCCCAATCACTAAGAAGTTATTAGTAGCTGGTCACTAAGCCTTTTTTGTTAAGCAGATGATCCTCCAAGTACTAATAAGATCCAATAAGATTAGGGTTTCACATGTTACTTTAAATATACTGAGAAATCTGCATCAAATATCAACCCCTGCCAACTGATTACTAATAAGAATAAGTATATTAATTACTAATGATGATCGTTAGTTCGGTGAACCATTGCAAACAGTTACTATACTAATCATACACTTCAACATGAAAATACTATGAATGGTTGATACTGATTACTAATCCCAACTAATTACTAATCATAATTTACTAGAGAAGATGTATCAAATAGAAATCCCAACTCACAAATAAAGATAAGTATATAATATGAATATACACTTGTTATTTTATAAGAAGTTGGGGTACCAATATCATAAGTGTGGGATGTCTATTTGATACTTACGAATAGTTAGTATTCATACTATATACAGTATAATTTAATAAGACTAATGTGGGGAAAACAAAACATAATAAACCACCCATTTGGGAATGATTTATACCACCTATAAAAATTGTGATTTGGGGATGGTTTATGGCATTGTTTTACCGACATTACTCACTATGCACTTATATATGATCATCATGTTTGATACCACAAACCACATTCATTCCCATAATCATCCCATTAGTCACTATGATTGACTATAATCATCAGTCGTTATTTCCCCTTATTGAATTCCACCAATGGGTCAATGATTCTCAATCATCATCCTATAATGAAGAGAATAAATATGAATAACTGAATCAATGGGTGAATGGGTAATGGAATGAAAAATCACTAGAAAATTTGGGGTACTCCCATGTATGGAAACCCCCAAATAATACTAATGTGCTTAAAACAATGCCATAAACCCTATGATTGGCTCCCTCTCCTCTATGATTCTATGACCATTCATGGGTCAATGATTCAAATAACATTCTATTAGTAATATTCCATTAACCACTAGTAATTATACCATGAATATTCCAGTATCGTCATCTCCAAATAGATGGAAAAGTAAATCCCTACTAATTTGATGGTGATTCACTGTTCCATCTATTTGGGGATTACTATAACCCTTTGTTTACCATTAATATTCATTAACCATGACTATATCATTATATCAGATCCCATCCACCATTAAAATTGAATGGAAAATTAATGAAAATAAATCACTAGAACATTTGGGGTACTCCCATGTGTGGAACCCTCCAAATAATACTAATCACATTCGTAACATTAGCAATTATAACATTAATATTCCATTAACCATTAGTATACCATTAGTATATATACCATTAATATTCCATTAATATTCCATGAGTATTCCATTTATATTCCATTGATATTCCATTAATATTCCATTAACCATTAATTATTCCGTTAGTAATTATACCATTAATATTCCGTTAATTATTCCGTTAGTAATTATTCCGTGCGAGCGTCTTGAGCCACGTGCCGCAGGTGAAAAGGCTAATGGCACGTGGTCAACAATGGACTATGGACATCACTGAATCACTACTGAATTGCTGCCTACTGTACTTTCGCAGTAATTATACCATTATAACATTAGCAGATTAACCATTAATATTCCATTAACCATTAATTAACCATTAATTAACCATTAATCACAGATCTTAAGATGACCACCGTCCCCGCCTCGAGCTGCTGCCGTAAGAGTCGCAAGTCCTCCTCCAGCGCCTTACTCTGCGCAGTGGCCTCCATCAAGACATTGGGGAAAAACGGAGCTGAAAAAACGAGGAAAACATGTGAAAAAACATGAGTTAACCTGGAAAAACATGGAAAAACATGGAAAAACTAGAGTTTAACTAGGAAAAGTGTGGAATTCACCAGGAAAACATTGAATTTAACCAGAATCACAACATTGGATTTCAGTGTCCACTGTGTGTGATTTAGCCATGAAAATTCACTAAGAGAAACCGGGGAATGAAACCATCAATGATTTACGTAATATATGCTTAGATTCCCATTTTTTAATCAGTGACACAGTGGATCTTCATCCTCATGCCATGTCATTCCCACCTTTCGGGCTGCGTTGCTCCTGACGCAAGCTGAGCGAGATGTCAAATTTCCCCAGCCCCCACTGTACTATCCAAGATTCCCCAGCCCCAAATGGTGAAAGATGGTGAAAGGCTTACTTTACTAAAGCTTTCAAAAACAATGTGAAACACCCAAATCAAAGTCAAAAAAGCCAGGTTCCACGATATCCATCACTATTAAATCACCATGAAATCACCATTAAATCACCATAAATCACCATTAAATCACCATTAAATCACCATAAATCACCATTAAATCAATGAATTATGCATCAGGTTGCACCCGTCCTTTGCTCCTCAGCTCGCTCCAATTGCTCTCGCACCCTCGGCAGGGAGCCCACCGTCGCTTGGCAGAGAGGTCAATATCCTCATAGAAGAAATCCCCTTCCCCAATAATTATCATTAGATGCTACTAATAGACTATAACCTATAGATTAATAATGATTAATAGATTGTATGAATATTTTATGACAATAGTTGTATTATCCTGATAGATGCTACTCTCTGGCAGTTTTTCACGTAGCCATGGAAAATCGCCATTTTGTCATAGATAAATCATCGAACCACATGGGCCATAAGAACCGGCTTTTTAACCCAATGCCCCCCCCAAATCCCATCTCTAAATGCTGTGGTTTAGCATTTGATCTCTTCATGCTAGGGTCCCAAAAATGCCCATACATAGATAGCATACATAATATGCTAGGGTGATTTATACAAAAACTGATGTGATTTATGTTTGTAGCGTCGCGACAATCCATTTCTATCTGGTATCTATGGTTTTCAGCATCGTAGGTGAAAAATTGACCATATTGGCAAAAAGGCTTTGAGGATGATGCCATTCATAATCATGTTTAGTTTGAGTCATGTTGGGCCATAGCCAGTTCATCTGATATCATCCAGTAAATATATACATGTATACATACTATATATGTATAAATACCATTGTCAATCGGAGATACCTTACAAATTTGCTACTTAAAATAGCTGGTTACTATCACCATCGTCCATCATACATAGTTCCCATGGCAAAGGATTTACCCTCTGGTTATTTAACATAGCCATGGAAAATGGCCCATAGAAATACATGATGTTCCCAGCTATAACCATCCATTTATGGTTGGGATGTTCCGTGGCTATGTCAGTCATAACCAGATGGTAAATCCCATTATATCCCTCATAAATCCAATTAGATCACCATAAATCACCATTAAATCACCATTAAATCACCCTAAATAAACCATTAAATCACCATAAATCACCACTAAATCACCATTAAATCACCATAAATCACCATTAAATCACCATTAAATCACCATAAATCACCATTAAATCACCATTAAATCGCCATAAATCACCATTAAATCACCATTAAATCGCCATAAATCACCATTAAATCACCATTAAATCACCATAAATCACCATTAAATCCCAATAAATCACCATAAATCAACATAAATCACCATTAAATCACCATTAAATCACCCTAAATAAACCATTAAATCACCATAAATCACCATAAATCACCATAAATCACCATTAAATCACCATTAAATCACCCTAAATAAACCATTAAATCACCATAAATCACCATTAAATCACCATTAAATCACCATTAAATCACCATTAAATCACCATAAATCACAATTAAATCACCATAAATCACCATTAAATCACCATAAATCACCATTAAATCACCATAAATCACCATTAAACCACCATTAAAATCACCATAAATCACCATTAAATCACCATTAAAATCACCATTAAAATCACCATTAAAATCACCATTAAAATCACCATTAAAATCACCATAAATGACCATTAAATCACCATTAAATCACCATTAAAATCACAATTAAAATCACCATTAAAATCACCATAAATGACCATTAAATCACCATTAAATCACCATAAATCACCATTAAATCACCATTAAATCACCATAAATCACCATTAAATCACCATTTAAATCACCATAAATCACCATTAAATCACCATTTAAATCACCATTAAAATCACCATAAATGACCATTAAATCACCATTAAAATCACCATAAATGACCATTAAATCACCATTAAATCACCATAAATCACAATTAAATCACCATAAATCACCATTAAATCACCATAAATCACTATAAATCACCATTAAATCACCATTAAAATCACCATAAATCACCATTAAATCACCATTAAAATCACCATAAATGACCATTAAATCACCATTAAATCACCATAAATCACCATTAAATCCCAATAAATCCCAATAAATCACCATAAATCACCATTAAATCACCATTAAATCACCATTAAATCACCATAAATCACCATTAAATCACCATAAATCACCATTAAATCACCATTAAAATCACCATTAAAATCACCATTAAAATCACCATAAATGACCATTAAATCACCATTAAATCACCATAAATCACCATTAAATCCCAATAAATCACCATAAATCAACATAAATCACCATTAAATCACCATTAAATCACCCTAAATAAACCATTAAATCACCATAAATCACCATTAAATCACCATTAAATCACCATAAATCACCATTAAATCACCATTAAATCACCATTAAATCACCATTAAATCACCATTAAATCACCATTAAATCGCCATTAAATCACCATTAAATCGCCATTAAATCACCATTAAATCGCCATAAATCACCATTAAATCACCATTAAATCACCATAAATCACCATTAAATCACCATTTAAATCACCATAAAAATCAACATTTAAATCACCATAAATCACCATTAAATCACCATTAAATCCACCATTAAAATCACCATAAATCACCATTAAATCACCATTAAAATCACCATTTAAATCACCATAAAAATCACCATTAAAATCACCATTAAAATCACCATAAATCACCATTAAATCACCATAAATCACCATTAAACCACCATTAAAATCACCATAAATCACCATTAAATCACCATTAAAATCACCATTAAAATCACCATTAAAATCACCATTAAAATCACCATTAAAATCACCATAAATGACCATTAAATCACCATTAAATCACCATTAAATCACCATTAAATCACCATTAAATCACCATTAAATCACCATTTAAATCACCATAAATCACCATTAAATCACCATTAAATCACCATTAAACCACCATTAAAATCACCATAAATCACCATTAAATCACCATTAAATCACCATAAATCACCATTAAAATCACCATTAAATCACCATAAATCACCATTAAATCACCATAAATCACCATTAAATCACCATTAAAATCACCATTAAAATCACCATTAAAATCACCATTAATCACCATTAAATCACCATTAAATCACCATAAATCACCATTAAAATCACCATTAAAATCACCATTAAAATCACCATTAAAATGACCATTAAATCACCATTAAATCACCATAAATCACCATTAAATCACCATAAATCACCATTAAATCACCATTAAATCACCATTAAATCACCATTAAATCACCATTAAATCACCATTTAAATCACCATTTAAATCACCATAAAAATCACCATTAAAATCACCATAAATCACCATTAAATCACCATTAAATCACCATTAAATCACCATAAATCACCATAAATCACCATTAAATCACCATTAAAATCACCATTAAATCACCATTTAAATCACCATTAAAATCACCATTAAAATCACCATAAATGACAATTAAATCACCATTAAATCTCCATAAATCACCATTAAATCACCATTAAAATCACCATTAAAATCACCATTAAAATCACCATTAAAATCACCATAAATGACCATTAAATCACCATTAAATCCCAATAAATCACCATAAATCACCATTAAATCCCAATAAATCACCATAAATCACCATTAAATCACCATTAAATCACCATTAAAATCACCATTAAAATCACCATAAATGACCATTAAATCACCATTAAATCACCATAAATCACCATTAAATCCCAATAAATCACCATAAATGACCATTAAATCACCATTAAATCACCATAAATCACCATTAAATCCCAATAAATCACCATAAATGATCATTAAATCACCATTAAATCACCATAAATCACCATTAAATCCCAATAAATCACCATTAAATCACCATTAAATCACCATTAAATCACCATTAAATCACCATTAAATCACCATAAATCACCATTAAATCCCAATAAATCACCATTAATCACCATTAAATCACCATTAAATCACCATTAAATCACCATTAAATCACCATTAAAACCACCATAAATGACCATTAAATCACCATTAAATCACCATTAAATCCCAATAAATCACCATTAAAGCACCATAAATCACCATTAAATCACCATTTAAATCACCATAAATCACCATTAAATCACCATTTAAATACCATAAATCACCATTAAATCATCATTAAAATCACCATTTAAATCACCATAAATCACCATTAAAACATCATTAAAATCACCATTAAAATCACCATAAATGACCATTAAATCACCATTAAATCACCATTAAATCACCATTAAACCACCATTAAATCACCATTAAATCACCATTAAATCACCATAAATCACCATTAAATCACCATTTAAATCACCATAAATGACCATTAAATCACCATTAAAATCACCATTAAAATCACCATTAAATCACCATAAATCACCATTAAATCACCATTAAATCACCATTAAATCACCATTAAATCACCATTAAATCACCATTAAATCACCATAAATCACCATTAAATCACCATTTAAATCACCATTAAAATCACCATTAAATCACCATTAAAATCACCATTAAAATCACCATTAAAATCACCATAAATGACCATTAAACCACCATTAAATCACCATTTAAATCACCATTTAAATCACCATTAAATCACCATTAAAACCACCATTAAAATCACCATTAAATGACCATTAAATCACCATTAAATCACCATTAAATCACCATTAAATCACCATTAAATCACGATTAAATCACCATTAAATCACCATTAAATCACCATAAATCACCATTAAATGACCATTAAAATCACCATTAAAATCACCATAAATGACCATTAAAATCACCATTAAAATCACCATAAATGACCATTAAATCACCATTAAATCACAATAAATCACCATTAAATCACCATTAAATCACCATTAAATCACCATTAAATCACATTAAATCACCATTAAATCACCATTAAATCCCAATAAATCTATCACAAACCATAAAAACCCATGGGATTTTCCCCAGGAAAATATGGGCTCTGCATTCGAAAAAGCTGCGCCCCAGCGGGATGGCCCAATGGTCCAAGAAACGATTTCTCCGCGGCATCCAGACGTCGAACTTGGATCTGGAGCCAACAAGAGTGCTACAGGGAATGGTATGGATATTAGTATATTAATGGGCATAGAAAAAATTTACAGAATTTGTATGGAATTCCATAGTATGGTATGGTATATACTAGTGGTATGGCATAGCAATAGGATATTTATAGAATTTTATACCATTAGTATTAATATACCATTAAAAAAAAAACGATGATATTCCATGAATATTCCATTAACCATTAATTATTCCATTAGTAATTATACTGGTTGGTGGTGCAATTTCACCATCTTGAAAAATGATGGAGTGAAAGTCAATGGGAAGGATGACATCCCATATATTAATTATGGAAAATAATCCGGCCATGTTTGAAACCACCAAGCAGATATTTATAGAATTTTATAGAATCTATTCACCTTTAATCACTTAACTCACAAACTATGATGAGAGATGGTAAGAGTTTATGTAACCTCCTGGGATATGTAACATGATATATCATGATATAATATGATATAACCAATAATTTGATTTGGGGTCTGTCCGACAATGGGTTCTTTACACTCAATTTCAGTTGAGGTGAAAAATGATGACAAACCACTGACAGAGAATTGAGCCGTGAGGCTTGTGATTCCGTTTGAGAGGTTTTTCACCAGACTTCCTGGGGATTTTCCAAGTCTTCTGCCGGGCCCAGGAATGTGGGGCTCTAGTGCCAGGTAGCCAACTTGCTAGACCCGAGAAACCGATTACAGTCAAAATCACACAGAATAAGTGGACCAGAAACACTCATCCTGAATCATCATAGGTTAAGGCCAAGGCCTCTGGAGAAACCCCAAAACTGTGAGATGGGAAATCGTTACGCGTGGATTTTCCATAGATTTCCTATGTTCCATCGATTTTCCATAGATTTCCCATAGATTTCCCATTTATGAAAATGATTCTACGAGTTCTATTGATGCCAGGTACTGTACCATGCTGTACCAACGCCCAACCACATCCCGTTCTTTAAAAAGCCTCCTGCAGCACCCCAGCGACGTTCTCTTGGAGGCAACAAAGAAAGCAGCGTACATGAACGATGACGTGGTACCCCAAAATCACCCGTTTTGATAGGATTTCCATTGTAAACCATCAATTTTGGGATACCCTCATTTATGGAAACTCCCAACGATTGAAAGTCGTGACAATATCAAAGGCTAATTTGTTCCAGGAACGCAGCTCCGAAACCTTGAAACAATACAAGTCTTGAACGTTGTGCCCGGATGGTGTTTTCCAAGCGCAGCGCCCCCCAATACCACGTTCCACAAGTCGATACCCCTTAAATTTACCTAGCGTTACCAAAAGAAATAATCGTGGAAAACCATGGAAAACCACTCTTACGTTGGATTCTGGTGGGTAAAAATGAGTCATTCGACTTTCAGGGCTTATTACATTTTATTACCCCATGCATATAATTAATGTGGCTGTCACGGTTTTTGCAATAACCATTTCATACTAATAGCTAGTCCATAACCCCAAAAAAACGCCGTGTGACCTCCGACTCCTTGAAGGCTTCCTGGAGCTTTCCCAGTTCGCTGCGCACCTGCCATGGCAGTTGGCCAGTTCTAATAATAAGTATTATATATATATACATGGGTTAAACATACAACTACAACTATTATATAGATTGTATTGTATGCCTACGAATCATAAGCGTATAAGTATTGCGAGAGCCAATCCCGGCGCGGCCGCCCTACAATCCCTTTTCCTGAGATACAAATGGGGGCTTGAGTCGGAATGTCCAATCGACCATGTCTATGTGATGATTGTGACCCAGTGGAATCTGCACGGGTCCAAAATTCTAAAAAGTTAAAAGGCTCTCAAGCCTGTGCCGTGTGAATCGCATAAACAGTCAATGTTCACCATCGCATCGCATTCATTGTTTTGTTGTAATGTGTGCACTCCAAGCTGCTTTCGACGTTTTCCAGACATAAGTTCTTCATCATATACTATTCTCCATCGACAGTTTCTGTGTAAAAACAGCATCACCTGATGATTCTCATTGTCCTTCGTTAAGGAATTTGCCAGCTGACTGTCCCCATTCACCCAGCGGACTATCACTCCGCATGATTCCATGGCTTCTTTCAAACATAAAGTCTCCAAATCACTACGCTTCTCAGCACCACGCAGTGTCAGAATGGGTTGTGTCAAACGGTCATAAACATTCTTGCTATCGCTCACCAGGGCACCTGTCACATTTCTGACTGTAGCATCACAGTCCCAGACATTTGCATGAAAGCCCAAAAATTCAGCTAATTGAAATCGAATTGCATATAGTTGATCTTCACCATCAACTGCTGCTCGAGTCTCTGCCGAAGCACTGGATCGGCATACCCTAGTAATCTTTGAGGAGGTCCAATAAACTGGCGTAATAGGTTCCAAATTTCCTTCCAAAATCTGTTTTGAGGCGCAGCCTACTAAAACACCTTTTGTACTGCTACCGTCTTCTCGATTGGCATGTGATGCATCCACCCATGCTACCACTATCAGTTGATCCAATGGAATTGGGTGAACCCAAATCTTTTGTGACTTCCTTGCCTTGGCTTGTTTCAAAAGCTTGTTGGTCTGAATCAGATCATAAACAGTAGCATGGTTCACTCTGGACAGCAATAAGCCCACCGGCGCACTCATTTCCATCGCCAGTTGACCCGCGTGCCATGATAGGGCACCCAAAACACTTCGCATCTGTTGTCGTTCTGAGGCAGTAGCTGGTGATTCCATTTCGTGCCAGCGTTTCTTTGACATGAACACTTCATCGATTTGGTTCACGTATTCTGGCTGAGTCAGTAGGAAGCCACCATCTTCTTGTCTTTGGATGGTAACTCCACATTGTACAAAGCTATTCACTTCCCATTCGCCCCGGCGAAATCGTTCTTGTATTTGCTTGCAGATGTTTTGCCACCTGGTATCGGTGGGACTTCCTGCAAACATGAAATCATCTACATGTCCACATATCCAACCAATTGGTTCTCCTTCAGGACTGAATAGTCCCCAAACGCAAGGATCAGAAACTTGTCGTAGAAAACCTAGTTCTTCCAGAAAGGAGTTGACAGTCAAATACCATTCTAGTGGAGCTTCTACAAGGCCGTATGCTGCACGAGTCAGTCGTGTCACGCTTCCAGGTTCCAGCTGTAGAGCTTCACAGATTTCTGGTAGAGGAGCACATAGAACTTGTCTTTGAAATTCTCTTCCTGGCAGGAATGCTCCTGAGACGTCACCCTTTGCTACATGGAAACCACATGACGCCGCCAGTTGTAAAAACAGTTGTTTTGATGTTCTGCTCACTGTCGGACTGTATGTCGGTCTTCTCTCATATTGAGGATCCATATATCCCAAAATCACTGCTCGTGCTTTTGGTTTTCTCTGTTGAGTTTCAGGATTAACTTTCCAGGTGTGCACCCATCTCATGTGCATCACTTGCGAAGGATCCGGTTTGAAAGACTCTGGCAGTTTCTCGAAGGCCTTGGCCAAGATGAAGTCCTTCACCTCGATTCCTTTTGCCTCCTTGAAAGCAGCGTGTTCTTCTGGTGTCATGCGTCTTTCAGATACCTCAACATGGTTTTTCTTTATCTGTTTCAACATGAAGGCCTCTGGATCTCTGAGCCAGGCAGGATTCTTTGCCGCCTTTCCAGTAGGCAGATCAATATCAATGGAAATACAAGCAAGCTCATCTTGTAAATGTTGTGATGGTGTCTGACTAGCCAGTGCTAGGAGAACATCAGGAATTGGCTCAGTCTGAAAAAGGGCTTGACTTTGCTTGTATCTCGCTCTGTGTGTCGGTGCAGGCCAGTCTGTTTTTCTCTTCTCTCCTGTCTCCGGGCGTGGTGAATTTGCCGGTTCAGTAGGAGTATATTCATCCTCCATTGGTTCATCTACTTGTGGCAGGCCAGTTGGGAGATCATCTTCGAGCTCCATGTCTTCCAAATCATGTTGATCCCAGTCGTTGGAAATGTCATCAAAAACTTGTCGACTAGAGTCAGAAACTATGTTGCTAATGGTCCATGGCACAGGCTGGTGGGGATCGATTAGCTCACTAAGAGCTTCCTCCCTGTCACTTGCAGGTCTCAGTTGTTGAGGCGAAGCCTTGATCAAATGGTTTCCCCTGTAGAGCCAAACTACGCTACCTGGTCTTGACATACCCTGTTGATCAACCCTGGTTTCCGTGGCCAAAACCCTGGCAGGCCCCAAATATTTCCCCTTTTTGAAGGGATGACGCGCCTCAGATTTGGGGATTTGTTTTCTCCAGTAAAACACCAGTTGACCAGGATAAAAATGTTGAAGCTTTCGGGGTCCAGAACCAATAGCACGTTCCAGGCGCCATTTCGCCTGTTCATCCAAAAACGCCCTTTCCGCTTGGATCATGGATTTCACATCTCTGCCAAATTCCGCAGATATTCCGGATTCGGTCAAAACAGGCATGTCATGATTACCCCAATTCCCCAAAACACCAGTTCCTTCAGGGTTACGCCCAAACGCATGTTGGAGGGGAGAGAAACCCAAATACTGATCATGAGTATTCTGAGCCCATGACACCCTAGCCATCAACTCCGGAACACCCATTTCGGGGAATTCAGAGGCCAACTTGGTCAACATTCCTTTCGTGGTTTGGATCATGCGCTCAACAAGAGAGATTTGCCAGTGGCTTTCAGCAGGAATTGTTTCCACCAAAACACCCCTTTCAGCCATGTATTGATCCAGATTGTTACTACGCCAGGGTCCCCCAGGGTCCAGTCTCACCGTGTTAGGTTTTCCAAAAATGGGAAGCCATTGACTTTCATAGAATTCGATAAAGGTATTGCTTGAGGGGGAATTACCCTTACCGGTACCAAGGGATTTGACAATTCGAAACCGACTACCCTCATCAATAGTGGCTAAGAACTTCCATGATTCCCCAGTTTGAGGGTGTTGCCATTCCCCGACATCAGACTGAAACCTACTCCATTTTGGGGGGATGTCCTCCAAGGTGGCTTGATTGCGGGGTTTCACCCTACGATGTTCTTCACAAACAGGGCATCGAAACTGGTCAACAATTCGCAACACAGATTGGTGAGCTCCCCGTCTTTTCAAGGCCTGTTTCAAGTATGATTGACTGCAGTGACCAGTCGCGGAATGGATTCTTTTCAACAGCTTCAGCACCCTGGAAGTTTCTTCACGACCCAAAGGATTATTTCCCAGTTGGATACCATCCCCAGGTTCATCTTCAGGTGACCCTTCTTCCCCAGCTAACCCAAACTGTTCCACTTCTCCCAAACAAGACTTTTGGGGTTCATGTATTCCCGTGACGTGAGCATGTGGGGAAGCAATCATAGGTTGAGTTCCAGGGGCCCCATCAATTAATTCATTGACCATATGAACATGATTTTCTTGATGAGAAAAATGTCCCAAAACCCTGGCCGCAAATTGGGGGGTGTAGTAAGCCGTAGTCCTACAAACTTGTTTTCCCTCACAAAGGCCATGTTTGTGGTTTCCCGGGCACTTCAAGGTCATATGACGAATCAATTCTTCACAATTCCCCAAAAGTTTCCATCCCTTGTGGAGCAGTTCCCCTTGTGGGTTTTTCAAACCAACTTGACATCCATGACAAACCCCAGTGACCGCACCCAGGGCTTCCAGTTCCTGAACCCAACTTTGGGACCAGGCTTCACACTTTTCGGACAACTCCACAACAAAAATGGAACCAATTTGGTGGGCTTCTTTGGCGATCTCACAGATCCCTTCATACTGTTTCCTCGCATGACTTCTTTTTTCCTCCAAAGACAACCTTTGTTGGGAATTCCGTTGGTTCAACCGTTGCATGGGACTGTAAGGACCACATTCGGGACTTAACCAAACCACTCTAGGTCGTTTTTCATGAAGAACAGATTTGATCAATTTGCGACCCTCAGCAGTCTCAACATCACCACCGTTCCACTGCGCAAGTCTTTCCGCTGACTGTGGTCCAAAAGTCTGGAGACAATGTTCAGTCAGCACACTGTTCGGTGAACAGCAAACCTCAAGAAGAAACAATCTATTGTACAGCACCAGATCCCACCAGTCCTTTTCTAGTGGTTCTGATGCTCCCAAGCTCATAGCCTTCAGCTCACGGGAACTCAGCTGATGAGGGCACTTGGGTCTCATTTTGGTCTTCACTGTTTCTCCTCGGAGTTGGTCTTGCCCTTCTTGCCCTGACGGCGCAGGTCGCGGATTTGATCCTCCAAGGCTTGGATGCGATTCTCGGTCTCTGACTCGGAGAACATCTCCTCCTCCTTCTCGATGTTGGTGTGGTTCTTCTCGGAACTCACCAGGCTGAAGGACGAGGCTGACTCCATCCCGCTCGACGCTGGATGGATGCGCTCTGGAGCACTCTTGTTGCGAAGCTTGGCAAGGCCCCGAGGGTCCTTGCGGACTTCCTGAGCCCAGCTGGCATAGCGCTTCAGGCGCCAGTTTGCTGTGCCCTTCAGGCCACCGGTCTCCATCATGGTGGTGATGCACCAGTCCGTGTAGTTGGGATCGTTCAGGATCACCTCTTGGTACTCCATGGCACTGTGCTTGCCGAACTCCATCTTGTCCTCCCTGAGCGCAGGAGAAGCTTTCATGAGTTCTTCGTAGGCCCTGGCCTGCATTGACTTCAAGGTTTCGTTCCCGGTCAACTCCACGTTGTAGTGAAGCTCCAGGTAGGTCTTGATCTCTCCTTTGTTCTTGCAGGCTTTGCGCAGCTCCTTGAGCTGTTTCTGGCGGATGGTGCGCACAGAGGGCTCCTCGGACTGGTGGAGTTCCCACAGACGGCCCTCCATCTGTAGTCGAGTCCACCCTTCTGGCACGGTCTCGCCATAGGTCAGCAGCCTCTCGGTAAGGACGGCCTTGGAGAGGTACGGCATGGCTGTTGTCACTTGAACCACCTACGAGGGCACTACGTGTTTGAGCAAAGGCTATGTTGACATTTCGACGACATACGCAGGTGCACCAGTCCGCTGCGGGTTCTGTGAAAATGGCGTTCACGAACTGTGCATTTGACAGCTCAAGTGGCGTGGAATGGAAAATTGAAAGTGAAACACAGCTTATGTCTCCATGACAAAACGAATCTTGACCACTGGATTCTGTCTGTGACTGGCTGTGCATGTTGTGAGTTTGTATGTGAGCGTGTGTGCCATCAAGTTCATCAGCATCGGCATCATCATACATACCTTTCCTACCAACATTCTCAAAATTGTGATTGTCACACGGCACATGTTGATCAAAAACCTCCCGGGGTTCTCCTTTGTTTCCATTTGCCCCCGGAAGGAGTTGCCCCTACTCTTTACAAGACTCATGAAGGGAAGAAAAAGGTGAAAACCGTGGTGTGCCAACAGACAAAATGTCTTTGGTCAGTGGAAACAACTGGTGTCCACTGGGCGCTCTCTCCAACGGCACTACCACTGATGCATCTACGTTTCGAAAGATGGCTTCATCTTTCTCAAAATCAATGACGGCTCCTAAAGCCCTCAGAGCAGCCACACTCATCAGAACAGGTTGGCCTTCAATCTCGTGAACATGAACTCGCATCTCACCCAGAGTGTTGCCAAGGGGCACTGGAACCTTAGCGGTACTCAGGCATTGAGTTCGACCATTGTTCCCAAAGCGGAAATGTGGTCTTTCGGTTCTTTCCACTGCGATATCTCGAGATGGATCTTGATCTTGATTGAGCCTCATGATTTGTTCCATGGCCTCCACAGAAGCCACCGAGGAAGTGGCTCCGCCGTCAATGATGGCCTTCCCTTCTCGCAAGATCTGCTGCAAGGACAAGGCAGCTTGATCTTCCGTATTCTTCATTGCATGAAGTGAGACATCCGTAGCTCTGGGCTCACTGGTGCCATAGGCTGAGAAGGCTAAATGAGCTGATTGTGATCCTCGATCAGGAGCATGCTTGTCAGGACATTCTGATGTTGGATGATCGCCATTGCATCGAAAACACTTCTTGATGGACCCCTTTGAGTCTCCTTTGGATCGATCATTGCCGAAGTTCCTCTTCATGGGGAAAAACTGGCGGCTCTTCTTGAAGAGAGATTGTTTCTCTCTGGCCTCTCGAAGAGTCCTTCGAGCCACTTGGAAGGTCTGGTAGGCCTCTTCAGCATCTTTGACGAGATAGCCGTACTCATACTCTTCCTCCTGGGTCATGTCATTCGGTGGGTCCGTGTCCATGTCATTCATTAGGGCTTCGTCATCCTCATCCTCCACCATGAGAGCGGCGCCTCGAGCCATATCTCGCTTCTTCAGATCTTCTTCTGGCCAGGCAAGTCGAAGTGCATCCTTGACTCGGGTCGTGGTGAACTGGTTCTTCAAGTTGGCGATGATGGTTCCTCGCTCAGTGCCGTCCAACCCAGATCGTTGGAGGAGCATCCATGCCACCACAAAGTCTGGAAGGAATTTGTCAGCTTCCACCGAGGCAGTCACTGATACATCATACTTGCCCTGCGTCGAGCTCGTAGGCTGGGGTGGCTTTGGTTGATGCCATCCTCTCCAGGACCATGAGTCCCAGCTCCCATGATAGTCTGACCACCACCAGCCCTGGTCTCTGTGATATCCTTGCCAAGAGTCGTGAGCAGCTGAGGCTGATTCTCCAAGTTCCACATCGTCATCCTCACAAAGCAGACCTTTGGAGTTGAATGGACCATCGCCATCTCCAGGTGGAGAACTTTGTTGAGATTCAGCACCTGGATCGCCTTCTGCTCCACATTGGCTTTTCGTAGAGCTCGATCGGGTTCTTGTCGATGTCCCGAGGGCTCCATATTCCTGGATGGCTTCAGCCAAGGTCCGACGGGCTTCGAAGAGAGCCTCGTCGTGGCGGAGGATCCAATGGTTCATTGATTCCCCTCGCCGACGCTTGATGGAGTAAAAGAAACGAGTGATCATCTTTCCGGCTTCTGCCAAAGTCGGAGGAGTCACCTTGGTCTTGAGGTAGTCAAGGAGTTGCTGAGCCCCCATTTCATGGCTGATCCAGCCTGGCACCTGGTCTTGGACCGCAACCCTTGCAGTACCCTCCAGGGCGGCCTGAAGTCTCGGGCCTGCCAAACTACGTTTCTTCCACTCCAGCGTCTCCACATAGTTAAGAGCTGCACGCCGGTACGGAATGTAGTGCTCTGATGTGCCATCGAAGATCGGCACTCCTTCTTTCGTAAACCTGAGATCGCTCATGATCTCTCACCCTGGATCTTTCTGGAGATGCCAGCAACGACCTTGCTGGCAGAGCTCCGCTACCGTGCGAGAGCCAATCCCGGCGCGGCCGCCCTACAATCCCTTTTCCTGAGATACAAATGGGGGCTTGAGTCGGAATGTCCAATCGACCATGTCTATGTGATGATTGTGACCCAGTGGAATCTGCAAGTATTATATATCTGAATAATATCTATATATGTATAATGGGAGATTAAAATAAGTTGTATAATGTTGTACATATATATATATATATAATTATATATAGTGCACTCTAATTCCGCCCCACTCTAATTACAATTATATATATATATATGTATATCTATTATAGTTGCTGGACAATCATATCATGATTATATATGTATAACTTGTCACGACTTGGACAGATCTGCCATGATCTGGTTCTGGTTTGTCCAGGAGGGGCTGGGATTTCAGAAGGCCACTTTGCCCATGAGCTAATGGACTCCTGGATGCCCATGGATGCCATGGTCAATCCCTGAGGATCCAGAAAAAAGATTCAGGTTTTGGTTATCTTCCATTATTGCCCTCTGGTAAACAAACAGTTTACCAGTTTACTATGGAAAATCACCACCATGTTTTTTTTATGGGGATTCATCCACTATTTCGACTGGGCCATATGTTCAAGTCCGCAAACTGTAAACGTTGACCAGGCCAGGTTTTTAGCCAAAAACTCAGGATTTAACCCATCTACTTCATCCAAGGTTGGGGATGAACATGGATCAACCCGTCGCAACATACGAACCCAAAGTAGGATGAGCTGAACCTGGAACTGACATGTTCCAAAACATGTTCTGACAATGTCGATCTTCCGAAAACCTAAGAATTTTAGCTGGTTTTCTGCGGAGTTGCGTAGCGGTTTTCTAGCCATCTGGACCATCCCAATGTTCGATGTTTTCTAGCCATCTGGATCTCATGTTATCGACAAAAGGGTCCCTTCCATGGTTTTTGGCGGGTTGGTTCAACCTTGTTGAGTTCATCCTGCAGAGCTTTCTCTTTCTCGCTGGTCTTGGCCTGGCTTCTGGAAGATCACAGAAATGAATGATGCAACTTGAGTTTCAAACGTGGGCATTCGACATACATCGGCCTCTATTAACTACTATGAAACAACATTAACCAACATTAACCAACATGAACCATTCCCAAATGGGTAGTTTATGACATTGTTTTACCCACATTGCTAGAATCTAACTCTATCCATCCAGATCCATTGCCTTCGGGTTGGTCAGCTCCCGCGTGGGTTTCCTCTCCTCAGGGCAGTGGCGGTGAAGTTCCGTTGAAGGCTTACCCTCTGGTAATTTGTTACATAGCTATTGAAAATGGCCCCGTCGGAATAGTTGATTTACCCACTAATAGCATGGTGATTTTCCCATAGTAAACTGTTAGTTTACCTGAGGGTAAACGATCTTTAAAGGCTTAGGGGGTCAGAGGTCAGAGTCAGAGATTCTACATGATCCAAGTTGGTTTTGAAGCAGATCCAGTGGATGTTTTTTGGCCCTTGCCGACTCTTTCTGAGTGGGGCGGGAACCGAATTGATCTACCACAAGAAACTGCAAAAATATCTTGGAAGTGAGCAGCAAAGCTTTGATTGTCACCAACACGTGGGGATTCAAACCGTGAATGTGTTCATAGAAGCGTCAGTTATCGGGCAGATGGGTGCCATTGCCCCAATATCACCAACGGTACTCAGCAAGTGAAGAACAACAATGGCAGATGGTAATTTGTATCATGTAGAAAGGTGCTTCCGAAAACTTTTTTTTGGACAATCCAATTTAAAAAAAAAAACGTGTGAAATCAAACCATCATCTCCCCATATTCCTATGGAATTCCTATGGATTCAAAGCCGCCTCTGTCAGCCTGTCTTAGTGTCCCGGCAGGCGGCTTTGGCGGCGCCCCAACTTTCTGTTCCAGTTTCACCTCGGAAAAAGTCATGGGAGGTGCAGAGGTTATAAGATAACTCTAATGTGAGTAAAACAATAGTAAACCATCCCCCAATTTTACCACATTTTTGGTATAAACATGTACAAATGGTATAAACCATCAACATATGGGTGGTTTATGTTTCTTTACTAACATACATAGTTTAATGGTTGTGAACCCCCATAAGTTGGGATATTATTTGCACCCCCGACTGGGAGACGGGCAACACACCGGAGCCAAGGATCCATGATCCATGACTCTGAATCGTGAGTGTTGAACATATTGAACCATGATGAGCCGTGCACTATCCACTGGGGATTAAAAGAACCATTGTGATGATGATCATTCTCACTATCATATTGACTCAGCACAAATAAAGCTCCAACGGTGAATCTGCACCGATGCCCACCCGCTTCGGGCCCCCTTTTTCGACCGGAACGCCACCAGAGCCTCGAAAAAAGGGTGCCGATAATTTCACAATCTTCACAGGTTTATCTGCGTCCTTCTTGGATAAGCTGAAACCAAAGCAACTACACCAAAAATGGTTCTAGGTCCATGGCCAAAAAAGTGAACCCCTAATTTCCTAATCATCTCCACATGTGTTTCTTCTCCAGTTTTTCTCCAGATCTTGCTCAGGCCAAGTTTCCGCAGGGCTTCTCCTGTCCTCTTCGACCCTTCAACCTTCGCCGTCGTCATGTCGTCATGCCGTCATGCCCAGCACGGTCAAGCACTCGCCAGCACGGTCAACGTCGGCGCGGGTCAGACGTGCTGCAAGTGGAAGATGGTGGCCAGCGAAGGATCCCTGGAAAGAATAGACTGGCAAATTAAAAAGAAAACAGAGATTGGCCTTACTCATGTCCAGCCTGAGCTCATCTAGTTTTTGTTTGTTCGCAATTGCTGAGGGAATCCCAGAACCCGAGAATTGGCAAGCAGATTGGGATATTTGAAGATATTTGGAGGGTGATAAGGGATAAAGGTCCTGGTTCCTACATAAACAAAAACCTGCCAAAGGAAAACTCTCCGTCGGTCAAAGGCATGAAAGAAGCTTCAGCTACAACTTGGCTGCTAAGACTTTTGATTCTATGGGAGTATTGGAGGGGTGTTGCAAACATCTCAATCGTTCTTTTCGCTAGTGATGAGATGAGGGGTGAGGCTGCACCATTCTAGCCCCGGGGGCCGATTCGACCCTGAAATCTGAATGCCGTGGGGTAACTGGTGAGTATGAATAGATATGTCTGTTCCATTCTTTTTCCATGCCGATCAACTCTGACAAAAGCCAGGGCAGCCGGTGAAGTTATGTGTAATTAAAAAATGTTTAACTATATAAAATAAGTTAATAGCATGTAATGGGCCCTTCAGTTCGAAGTTGGTGATCCCAACAGCTCTGGTGAACCGCAAGATCCCCGGCTCGGCACATGTGGACCATGGCATAGACCGAGTTCTCATCACCTAAATGAGAGGGTCAGAGCCCCATCAAGATCTGCTGGCAAGCGAAGTCGGATGATGAAACATGAAACTACAGTACTACTGATCGTACTGTTGATTGGCACGAGGAGAAAAAAACGCACTTGGGGTGATACAAAATCTGCAGGCAAGAATCTCAGGAGCAGGAACATTGGACTTTACCAACTTTCCATGCTGGAACAAATGAAATGCCGTCCTTTTTTCTTCCCAAGATCCATGGACAGATGAGGTCTAAACATGTCTAAACCCCATGCTTGGGGGTGCATCTCATCTAGGGTCCGGGGGGGCTATAAGCCATTGACCTAATTGGGGGATACCCTATACAGAATAATGTCAACCCCGGACTAATAAACCATGCTCTATTAAATATGGGGTACCCTCCAAATAGTGATAATGTGATGCTTAATTGGTACCACCCCCCCAATTAAACAGCCGAGGCTAAGGGTTTATTCATCCAGGGTTGACATTGTACAGAAGTTGATTGTGCTATATGCATTGTTTAGATGCCACTTACATCCACTTACTACTAGTAACTGGTATCAACATCCCAGAAACTCCCCAACCACTTTGCACCCCATGGATCCCCCAAAAGCCATGCGTCGTTCCGCCCCCTGTAGGGAGAGCAGTGTGCCGCACATTTCGCCCGCGATGACGCGAAGCATCACGCCCCTGCCGCGCTCGGGCAACCCGAAAGGGGGCAAAAATGGGAATAGAATTTTGGCCGCGTCTAGATTCTTTATACATCTTTATACTAAGTTACTAATTAGATATGTTTTGCGAAAAAAAGTTACATCCGATCATGTTGAGCCATAATAAAATGTTGCACGGTGACATGGTGAGTTTCAGCTGTAGCTTACCGCATTTTGATCCGCCTTCTCCAGGATACAACTGATCGGCTGACACCAAACTTCCACACGGATCACACACCAAAAAACTGGATAGAGTGTATAATTCACCACTGACATAAGATGCATAAAAGTGACATCATTTTGGGACAGTCCTTACACTTGACTTCCCATCACCAAAAAAAGTGACATCGCAATGCCTAGTCACTGCAATTGGGCCAGGCCCAATATTCCATTCCATATCCCCAATCTACACCCATGCATTCCCCATGATATCATGATATCCCATGATCTTCCATATATATTCCACATCCCCAGTCATATCCCCATTCCCCAATCTTCCATTTCCCCATGATCTCCCCAGTCTTTTGTGGACACCAGGCGACTCACGGCCGGGCGCGGCTTCCCATCTCCACAAGTTCATGGCGGCCTGTCACAACGACAGGAACGCGCGTCGTAACTGACGTCGGTTCACTACGTCGCGAGGACTTAACGACCGGTTCTGAAAAGGGACCGGGGACCGTAGCATATGATCGAGTTAAGGCTACTGTACCCTTTTTAGAAATAAAGTACGTTACAAAGTACACGAAGTACTGCCCTGTTCGAAATTTCGAAGATGAAAAAGGGAAGAATTATTGATGGCCAGTTCAGGTAACGATCCACTGGAGGTAAAAATTGGGGGTATATCCCCTTACATAGACCTTATCTATGGTAAGTACCTCCAATCTATCAGTTCCTGAAGGTTGGGCTCAAAACATGAAAACATATGAGTTGGGTATGACTTGGGTTGTCTTCCGAACCCTCCTCCAGTCACTGGGGTTCAATCACCAGAAGGTCAAAATGGGATGCCTCACAACCACTGCAAAGAAATGAGGTTTCATTATTCCAATGCAGCTTGATTCTCCTTTTTTTGATCAAGTAAGCCATGGCGGACCAGATGTGCCACGGTCAAAACATGGTACATGGCTTATGGTCATCCATTCTTTATCAATGGTAATGGGCATGTGAATCCCTCTTAATGGAATGATGAGCATCCCATGACAATCCATCTTTTACACATAGAAAGCATTCTGAACCCGCAAAAAAAATGGAATCGGATTCACCGTGATTCACCATCATCATCCTCCTCCTGATAATTCAACACAGCTCTGGAAACTAAGAATACTATATTAAAATATATTAAATATTACCATCATCATTACATATGGACTCATGTTGATAGTATCATTTGATTTTTGGAGCCATCACCCATAACGAAAGCTATCAACCAACAAGAATATGGATCAAAAAAGAAAAGTTATGACTGTTGCGGTCCATCCCAACACGCGAAACGTGTAGCCCAGCAGGCCCAGCACCGCTGGCTGCACCGCACCTCCCTGACCGAAACGTCGCTCGACGTACCACGTCGCTCAACGCGGCCTTGATGGGGCATCAAGGGGGTCTGGTGGGATCCCCGGCCTGGTATACAAAAAACCATTGAAAATGGCCATTGAAATAGTGGATTTACCCATTAAAAATTGTGATTTTCCATAGTTATGTGATATTTTATAGTTGATTTACCCATCAATAGCATGATGATTTTAAGCGTAGTTACGCTAGTATTGTTAATTTACCGGAGGTATATACCCAACAAAATGGGGCTATTTGTTTTTGAGATATATTTGGATTCCTGTTTCATTCACCCAATTCCATAAACCTACTAAAAATCAACATGAATATATGTGTAACATTGTGCAACCCATTTCTGGTCATATGCGGGAGATTTAACATTGTTCACTTTACCACATGATTTGGCCAAGAAATCCCATGGCTTTTCTTTGCCAAAAAAAACCGAAATCAACAAATCCTCCAGCCACTTCCCGTGACTCAAATCTTGGCTCAACTCCTCGCAGATTGTACCATTTACAAGGCACCCTCCCAGTTGTTGGTTTATACACCCCATTACTGTATATAACTATAAGTTAACTATAAATACATAATAATACATATAAATACTATAGATATACCATGAATCATAGTTGACTAATGTTAACTATCCATTGAGGCCCGCCTCGTAGTAATATGAACGGATGGGATCTGTTTGGTGTTGTCCCGCGGCTTCCCCTCGAAATTCCGAGCTTTCCAGCGCCTGACACCGTCAGGAAGCCGCCCAGAGCAGTGGAACGGCCGTCTGCATGGCCTCATTCAGAGCTGGTTTTGCTTCGGACATGTGGGGTGTTCACCATCAACTCATGGGGCAGCCATCAAGAATATGGTGATGTCATTTTTCTACATGATAATCAGGTGAAATTATAATAGCCTGGTATTTCATGTTTATTTTTTTCCTATCTGGTCTCTTGCCAAGCATCATCGTTTAAAATTCGAAGAACCTTGTGTTCCCCAATCTGAAGTTGCCATTTTGGGGTATCCAGGTGGTGGGGAAACAACAGGAGGACACCATTCTCCTGTTCCTCACCTCTCTGATTGGTAGTCCAGAATTGAATGCGTAACCAAACAAGGTGGCTTCTGGGCCGTTTTTCTTACCAATCATGATGTAAAGTGACAATGGCCGTCCGATTTTGCCCCGAATATGTTGAAAAAAATTAACCCCGACGAGAACCAAAAAACGAAAGTCTACTTCTTCAAATTCATCAAAAATTGCAAAAAAATGATGGGTTATTATGGAGGTTTCACCAATATAGCACGCAGTTGCGGTTATAAGTGGATTTTTTTATCATACTTGTAGGACTTTTTTCGGGCCTGAATCCCAACTTCTGGGGGTAAATAGGGGGCAATGTCGAGTCAAAAACCTCACCTAATTTTGGTGAACCACGAAGTATACTATTAAAACTATAACCGCAACTATACCCTATTTAAAATCTACCCCCTGGTAATTTGACATAGCTATTGACAATTGCCATTTATAGTTGATTTTCCCATTCAAAATGGTGATTTTCCAGTTCGCCATGTTAGTTTACCAGAGGGTAAGCCTAACTGGACTATCCCCTATTTATAATCCAACTCATGTAGCAAACCCGATAAGAAACCATCCCCACTAGGGGTTTATTGTTGGGTATGCCCCTATGACTTGGATGATGTTTATCATGACCGGCAGTCATTGTTGGTTTTTTTGGGATGTTTTTAATGGCAATGGGTTTACACAACTATCCAAACTATCCAAACTATATATCCTAACTGTAACTATCCAACTATTGGGTAATACTTATAATCCTAACATATCCTAACTATCCTAAGTGCCCCTAGGCTTCCCCCGCCCCTCACCTGCCCCACCTGCCAGTCTCAGAAAGCCACGTCGCAGCCCCCAGCGGCTGCGCCGCTGAGCCAAGCGATGCCCGTGCACGCGCACCCCAGCTTCGCCCGGAGGCCTGAAGATGTCATCGTTCTCTCTCCATCGCCCAAAGGATGGCTAGTAAGATATCATGGTATGTCATTTTTCTTTTATCTGTTTTTAGGGATTGCTAAGACTCATGTGTTGCCCCCAGTGTTGCTATACTTCATGTGATTTCTATGCGGTGAAGAAATCGAAACCTATCGTTGAAAACCTGCGATGATCCGATCAAACTAGGCGACAATGTACCGAAAAACTTCTGCGCTGCACACCAGGTTAGCTCGCCTTGTTATCACTGGACTAAGCCTACCATTACACATCCTACTTGGGATATCTTGGGATATCTTGCAAAATTATAAGCCACTGGGATGAACCGCCGTATGAAGAAAAATTGCCATTTCTGATCCACGGTTGGAAAGTGAGACCTCCCAAGAGTTGATGGACCATTTGTCGCCTTTTCCCACCGCCCATCCCGCTGCCTGTCGGCCACATTCCAAGTGTGCACTGCAAGGTGGCAACCAGGACAACCTGACGCCAAGGCGCAAGGGCCGATGGCCACTTAGGGCAATTCTCCGGCCAAGTCGAGCGTTTTGATGGTTTTGGGATGCTTTGGGTCTGGGTCAATACAAGTCAATACCACCATCGACGAAAATCTGTGCAGCAGACCTGTGATCCTGTCCTCTGGGCCTCAAAGTTTGGCCCAGTTTTTGAAGTTTAAACCCCATTATTTGGGCCCGGTTTGCGCCAGGGTTTTTTTCCCTTCCCGGGGATTTTTTTTCCCCCCCCAATGCCGCATCAATTCCCTCGCTATTTGCAGCATGTTATGAATAAACCTCGAAGCTGCCATTTCGACAGTATTTGCAACCTTTTGGAACCACTTCTACGGTAATTGCAGCATTTTAGAGCTAGAAACTGATGGTAAGTCAAGCATTTTGGAACTAGAAACTCTTATTTCTGCCGGGATCGGAAATTTTTGGAGCTAGCAGCAATCTGGGGTTGGTTCAGCTAGAAGTGTTGTTGGGGCTGCTGTGGTGTGTGCTTGGGGTTGGTTAAAGGTATCGGTATCGTGGGTTGGGTCGGCTTAAAGTTGGTTTATAAATGGTGTTTGTGTAGCGGTTGTTTGGCGTGAATTTAGTGTTGGTGCAATATTTTGTTTAGGGTTTGTTTGCGGTTTAGCTAGGAGCCCGCTTAATTTTAGGGTTGGTTCAAATAGCATGGTGTTAGGGTTGCTGTAGGATTTGTTTCGGTTTGGGTGAAGGTATTTGGAATGTTTTGCATTTCTAAGATATGTTCAGGGTTGGTTTAAGTTTGGTGTAAGGTTTTGTTTAGATTTGGTTTAGGGTTGTGTTCCAAGGCCGCTTTGAAATTGTAGTTAAAATTTACTTAGGGTGTAGTTTAAGTGGGTTTAGTGTCAGCTTAAGGTTTACTCTGGATTTATTTAACGCTGGCGTAATGTTTATTTAACATTTTTTCGGGTGTTGGTTTTGGCGTGCTTAGTGTTTGGTCTAAGATTCAAGATGTGTTTAATTTCTCCTCCGGTTTGGTTTAGGGTTGATTCAGGGTTGGGTCAGTGGTTTATTGCTGGTTGGTTTAAGGTTGGTGCAAAGTTTTATCTAAAACCGGTTCCGGGTTTGATTCGGAATTTGTCGAAAATTCATGTGTCTTTTAGGTTTGGATTTGGGTTTGTTTTGGGTTGGGTTAACCCTTTATTTGGCATTCGTTTCAGGGTTTATTTGAGGTTGGTTGAAAATTTAAAGTTGGTTTGGGGGTTGACTTTAAGGTGTGCGTGCAGTTTCCTTCGTGAGGGTTTTAGGATTTATTTTTGTCATTTATTTAATATGTATATATATATACATACATACATACATATAGATAGTTTGCTTTAAGGCTTTCTTTGGGGTTGGATTCACGGGTTCTTTCTAATCGGTTTAAGGTTGGTTCAGGGTTGATTTGGGGTTGGCTTAAGGTTTGATTAGAGCTGGTTTGGTGGCTATGGAATGCTGGTTTCAATTTTTGTTGAATGTTGTTCGGAAATTTATTTGAGGTTGCTGAGGGTTTTGTTAACGTTGGTCTCATGGCTGATTCAAGTTGGTTTAGGGTCGATGTAGTGCCGGTGCACTTTATGTTTTAAATTGGTTTACGGTTCGGTTTAGAATTGGTTTGGGGCTGGTTAGAGATCTATTTAGGGTTGATGTGCGGTCTATTGAAGGTTGGTTGAAAGTTTAATGAAAGTTTATTTGAGGGTGGTTTCAGGGGGTATTTCAATATTGTTGGTGTTTTACTAAGGGTCAATTTATATTTCTATTTCAGGTTGGTCAATGTTTTTCTTTAGAGCTGGTTCAACATTTATTTATGGTTGATTTTAAAACAGATCTAAATCTAAGCTTTGGTGTTGTTGTTATTTTGAGTTTCTTTAGGGTTGGTCAAAGATCGCATTAAAGCTTTCTTTACTATTTAGTGCCAGTTAGTTTACAGTTTAAAGTTCGCTTAGGGTTTGGATAAGTAAGGTTTAGGGTTGGTTGAGGGTTGCTTTGTTATATTGGAAGTTGGTTTATAGTTTTTCCGAATACGGTTGGCCCAACACTTTGCTTATGGTGGCTGGCTTGCTTGCTTGCTTGCTGGCTGGCTGGCTGGCTGGCTTGCTTGCCCCCTTGCCCCTTGCTTGCTTGCTGGCTTGCTGGCTTGCTGGCTTGCTGGCTTGCTGGCTGGCTGGCTTGCTTGCTTGCTTGCTGGCTTGCTTGCTTGCTTGCTTGCTTGCGTGCGTGCGTGCGTGCGTGCGTGCTTGCTTGCTTGCTTGCTTGCTTGCTTGCTTGCTTGCTTGCTTGCTTGCTGCTTGGCTTGCTTGGCGGGCTTGGCTGGCTTGGCTGGCTCAGCTGGCTTGGCTGGCTTGCTTGCTTGCTTTCTTGCTGCCTTGCTGGGTTGCTCAGTTGCGTGCTTGCTTGCTTCCTTGCCTGGCTTGCTTGCTTGCTGGCTTGCTTGGCCTGCTTGGCCTGCCTGCCTGCCTGCCTGCTGCCTGCCTGGCTTCCTTGCTTGCTTGCTTGCCTGCTGGCTTCATTGTGAAAGGATGATCGGGGAAAAAAAATCTCGTTGAAAGGGGAAAAGAATACCCAGGAAAAATAGTGCGCCCCATTATTTTGGTTTATACCACCAAATTTCAAAGCAAGAGAGGCAAATGATCTTTCAAGATCGCTTCCCATAGTTTGCCATGTGTTTCAGTGAAAATTTAAAGCGTTGACCTCTTCTTGGGATGGAAAAATGGATTTCCTGGAGGTTTCTACCACTTAACCGATCAAATGAAAGTCATATTTACGTTAAAAGTGCCAACCAATCAGTTGAGACAATTGACAGGGGACCCACCCTGTAGCATGTCGTGCCCTCGGGCTAGAATAGAGATATCAACTATGAAGCCAGCAGTCAACGTAGCCAACCAAATACCACCAACTCAGCTATCATTGGTTTAAGATTTAAATGGTCGAAGTGCAGGACATGAGTTCCAATTTAGTAAAGCAACCATAAACCACCCATATGAATTCATGGTTGGAATTTCATCCGTCAAAATTTCGCAAGATTGGGCATAACAAATCCTATTGCTTAAATTTTGTTTTACTACCTAACATTACGGTCCGACGCCATCGTTTGCCCGGACTCGCAGTGATCATCATCAACAACATCAACATCAACATCATCATCGTCACCATCATGATCATCATCAACAACATCAACATCATCATCATCACTATCATCATCATCATCATTTTCATCATCATGTGTTGATGAGGAACCATCAAGATACCCCCCAACCCCCCCACCCTAAATGGGAATGATATGTATTTTTGAAAGGTCAGGTGGAACATAGTAAGCTTACAATCATGCAATTTATTCGGTCCGGTAGCTAATCCTTTTTTTCCATTGTGTGTTTTTCCGGTCACCCACTGCACCTCTCTGCACGAAGCCACAGCACAGCTAGTGAGTGGGTTTCGCTCGGCTGGCGTGTGCCAGTCCAAGAGGAGCTGCCACGCCCTCATACCCTGGTGAACCGCTATTTTATTGTACGAGTACTGCGGGACGGCCAAGCATGATGATCAATATTCCAACTTAGATGATCATGTGATGCATGTCAACATGTTTTGATTGTTGTAGTAAGATATGTCAACGTAGATGATCATGTGATGCGGGTCAACATGTTTCGATCGTTATAGTAAGATATGTGTTGAAAAGATGATTCATTAGGTGGTTCTGAAAGCAGAACACATATCCCTCATGTTATGATATATATCTCTAATTAATCGGGTTACAGTTTCCATGTTTTCATATTGGAATTGTGTTGGTATGATGCAGATGGAAGATGTATGATCATGCACCGTTCCGCTCCTTTTTCCACTGAAAGGTTCAAAGAACACTCATGTTTTGCTGAGCAACATGTCATGATATGGATGTTAAGATACATGAATGTCTTGTAAATTCTTGGGCAAACGATGGTGTCAGCGCGTAACATTGCAGCCCATGTTTTGGCATTTCTATGAGTCGTATCAAACAATTTGCCATAAAATGTGTATATATATATATTATTACATTATATTATATTCTATTCTATTCTATTATATTATATTCTATTCTATTCTATTCTATTCTATTCTATTCTATTATATTATATATTATATTTATGTATTTATTTTTTAAAATCTATTTATATATATTTGAAAAAATCACCGAAATTTCACCCATCAAAATTTTTGAATTCTCCACATTCCTCCACAAGTCTCCTGAGAGTCTCCCCATGTTTTGCCTCAAAAATCGCCCCATTCCGCTGGCACCTCCCTGCTCCAGCGCTCTCACTTCCACCAGCTCTTCAGACGCCGGTGCCAGCGGCACGCCAGGCACCACCGAAGCAACGGAAGCGTCACAGAGGCGGAAACCGGCCTGGTGCTGCCAGGGGTCAAAGAAGAGGGGGATAATATGGGATGGTCACAAAACATGATAAAACAGTGAAAAATGCTGGGAAACTCTAATTTTCTTAGCATTGACTAAGTGAGTATCGGAGATGTTTAAGATGTTCTTAAGCAGAAAGTTTGAAACATGAGACTCTCTAAGTCTCTAAGCACCAGAAATGCTTGGTTTGTTTCTTCTTTTGTGCAGGAGCCACAACCTATTTCCCACCTCCTCAGTTCGCACCTCACGCCTTTCTTCACGATGGCGATTGGATTTGAAGCTTCAAAAGGCAGCTGATCAATCGACTTAAATGTGAAAAATGAGATTGGAATGTGCTTCAAGTCTGCAAGACTTTCAAGTTGCATCAATGCAAAATGGAAAACGCTCTATGCAAAATGGGAAGTGCTCTTCTGCACTCCTCCTTTGGAATGTCGTCAGACTATTCCAACTGTTCAAGGCCCAAACTGCCTTTTTTCAGTGGGAAATGTGTGAATTAGCCTGCGATGTTTTCTTCACAATTCTGGCACGCTCGAAAAGTCTTTTGAGGGTCGCAGCGAGGGCATCTTGGGTCCACATGATAATCGTGGCCCCATGCATTAATCCAGAGTTCAACACCAGGAGGGGGTCGTCCCCTTGTTCTCAAGCTAATGGCCCAACAGAGCCAGCACCATGTCGATTCTCTGCAGGCTCCAGTTTGAGATGAGGTTAGGTACCTGCAGTTGCGTCGATGGTGGTACACAACCCCAAATCTGGTAGTCCATACCTGGAAAAATGGCTGGGAGACTTCAGGACCATGTTGATCATTCTGGAATTGATTTGGATTTTCTCGCGCTTCCTCATATAGTTCTGCTTCTTCCGATGCGATCTCTTCTAATGCTCTTTCCACATCGAAATCTGGGATGTGTCTTTCATCAACGGGGCGATATGGCGGACTGCTTCCAGATGAGGAGATCGACGATATCTCATCTTGTGGGAAGACCGAAGGAGCTGTCTGCTCAACCTGGGCCACATCCACTTGTGGAGGCAGCTGGGGAGATGATGTCTCAACCCGTGCCGTGCCCACTGGTGGGAGCCGAATGGGTCCCTGCAATTCCTCCGCAGGGGCCACGGCCCCACCTGGCGGGAGCCGAATGGGTCCCTGCAACTCCTCAGCAGGGGCCACGGCCTCACCGCGTGGCGGGCGCCGAAAGGGTCCCTGCACATCCTCAGCAGGGGCCACGGCGTCGCCGCCTGGCGGGCGCCGAATGGGTCCCTGCATCTCCTCAGCAGGGGCCACGGCGTCGCCGCCTGACGGGCGCCGAATGGGTCCCTGCACATCCTCTGCAGGGGCCACGGCGTCGCCGCCTGACGGGCGCCGAATGGGTCCCTGCACATCCTCTGCAGGGGCCACGGCGTCACCGTCTTTTCCCTTTTCTTCTTTCCCTTTGGTATTCTGATTATTCAGGTGCAACTGGCTTCGCAGCAGAACCCAGAATTTTTGACACAACAGAGTAACAGCCACGATGACCAGAGCAAAGATCACCATCATGGCTGTAAACTCTTGGCTGTGGCCATCTTCTGACCAATCTTCATCTTCATCCTCGCTCTTCGCAACCGAAAGAACGGCCGCAAGGGTGAGCAGCCTCACAATTGACGCTGCTTTCTTAATCTCCTCTTCTCCACTGAATCTTTCTTTCAATTCCCCGGGTTTTTTCTGCAATGGTAGCGGAGCGTGGTTCACATTCTCCACTTTCGCATGGGGAACTTCTACCATGTGCATTTCTTCCTTGAGCTGCTTGAGTCTTTCTGAAGCAAGCGGTTTCGTGCCGATGTCTGCCGTCATTTTCGACCCAGCCATATGCTGGATCACCCACATTCCTTGAGCAATGGAATGTCTCGCTGCTGCAGCTCTCAGACGGAGGTGTCGCGTCCTCCAAGAGCCGCCATCTGTGGTCAAAATCGCCAGGGCAGATTGTGAATCGGTCCAGCTTTTGCGAGAGAGAGATCCAAACAGCTCATCAGCTATGGCACCTATACTTTCACCTGCTACCATGCTCTCTATAACTTCCATCATCTCAGCCTCTGCAGTGGACAGTGTGACAAAGCTTTGACGCCCACTCCTCCAGAAAACTGGGCATTGGCCGACTTCGATGATGAAGGCTCCATGGCTTACATCACCATCAGGCGCAAAACTTGCGTCTGCCATGGCCTCAATCATCATCATCTCAGGCGCAGCTCCGTCAAAGCATAGACCATGATAAACGGTCTTTTTGAGGTAGCCCTTGATCTGCTCATAGATCTGAAGGACCTTCCTTGGTGACTTGGTTACATTTGATCCCATCTTTGAGACCGCATACATCAGGTCAATGCGGGTGCGAGTGACAAGCCAAAGCATCTCACCTGTTGCTTTCTGAGCAAGCTTGACGAGTTCAGGAGTACGGTGTTCCTCCTGATCTGGAAGTTGGCCCTGATCCCTGGTGATGGGGACCTTCTTCTCGGAAATTTCCTTCTCGCTTTGAGCCAGAAGGTCTTGTATGTATGAGCTTTGACTCATATACCATAAGTCTCGACCCTTCTTTTCATCAAACACCTTCGAGATCTCCACTCCTAGGAACTTGATGGGCACTTCATTCACTTGATCTGGTTCCGTAGTCGTCCACGTGCTTCTGATTTTCTCCATGACAGCTTGGACTACTGCAGAACTGCCGGTGACCAAAATGTCATCGACATAAGTCATCAGAAGACCTCTCAATGGCAGCGGAGCAGAATCTTCGTTCTCCAATTCTGAGTCCTCTTTCGACTGAATTCTCCACAAGTTGGGTTCTGATTCAAGAGGAAGCAGCTCCAAGAGGACTTTTTGACCAGTCTCTTCCTCCACTTCTATCTCCATCGACTCCAGGCCTTCGTCTCGGCATTCACCCCAAAGCTTTGGAGAGCGTCGCAAGCCGTAGACTGCCCTTTTGGGGAGGTAGTAGGTGCCAAGCTTCATGTAGCCTTTTTCCAGAAACAATTGTGGAGGCTTGACGAGGAGCAAAGTCTTTTGGCCCTGCTGATCCATGACAGCATTCAAAAATGCTGTCTTCACATCGATGGTGCCGGCTGTCCACTGCATCCTCGATGAAGTGACCAGGAGAAGCCTCAAAGCAGCAGCATCCGCCCCGCTAGAGTAGGTGGACTCGTCATCTCGTTTCTGTTCAAAGTTTCCGCAGATGACCCACCTTACTTTGGGCCGACCGCCCTTCTTTCCAGGCTTCTTCGTGAACACCAACTTTGAAGGCAAAAACTCCACAGCCACGCCATTCTCCTCTGCTTCATGAAGCAGCTCTTTCAGTCTGCTCCCACTGATCTCCTCCATAGCTTCCTTTTCTTGCAAGAGGGAGTTGACTTCCGCTTCTATGGCTGGGAGCCACTCACTCCATCTTTTTGATACTTCTTGAGGTGAGATGATGCGAGTCTGCAACACCTCGTCGTCCTCTCCTCCTTCTGCCGCATTCAGCATCTTTTTCAGCCTGGCCAAGATCTCGATCTCTTCTGAGACCAGTTCTGGGTCGTCATCAAGCATGCTCCTCATCTCCTCCTCGACAACCTTTGTGAACTGAACTCTCATCTTGGCCACTTTCATTACATCATCTTCTTCGTCTTCTTCTGTCATCCTCAATTTTCTGACTGTAGTCTTTCCTCTCAGTCGCCGACGCTTTGTCAGAGCATCTGCCACCTCTCTTTCTACTGCCAGCCATACTCCTTCATCAGGATGTTCAAGCGCCTTCCTCATGAAGCATCGAGTCACCCTCGGCGGTTCGTCACCCACCTTGATCCAGTGCCCATTATCTTCTGGCGCTGGGCACAAGTACTTGGCGGTTTCAACCGTGGGCTCAAAGGCTTTCTTTTTCCACTGTCGCCTCCTCACCAGCACATCTTGGAGAAACCGAGGAAACTCAGGTGCTTGATCCAACCGCTGGCATCGATAAACCTCATTCAGGTAACGCAATGCCCAAGGCCACCAAGATGAGTCCACCTCAGCATGGAGCAGAATCCTTCTCACTTGATTCTTGGCGGATTTGACCACCACTTCTGCCCTCCCGTTGGCCTTCGGGTCATCTCCCGATGTTTTGGTGAGGATGATGCCACGGGACTTCATCCAAGTCTCAAAGGAGCCCAGGAACTCATGACCTCTGTCACTGTGAATTCTGTTCACATGGTATCCATCTATTTTCAACTTCAAGATCATTTCCATGGCAGCTCGAGTAACTTCTTTAGCCTTCTTTGATCTCAACGGCAGAACCAGCTTGAACAGACGGATCTCTGCCTCCTCCTGTTCCACCCCTTTTTCTTCCTTGTCTTCCTCCTCCTCTTCTTGTGGGGGCCCTTCAGGAGCAAGATCACCTGGGGCCTCGCCCACGGGTGGGCGCCGAACGGGTCCCTGCAAATCCTCCGCAGGGGCCGCAGCGTCACCACCGGACGGGAGCCGAATGGGTCCCTGCACATCCTCAGCAGGGGCCACGGCCTCACCGTCAGACGGGAGCCGAATGGGTCCCTGCAACTCCTGCGCAGGGGCCACGGCCTCACCGTCCGAGCCCACCTCGCCGGTTTCAAGGGCGGGGGCTGCATCTAAATTTCCTTCTTCTTCTGGAGGAGGTGTCATCTTCGAAGAACCCTTTGGAACCATGAAAGTATATGCCCCGGCAAGGAAATACCGGCACTTCCAGCTTCCGACATCACTTGCGGGAAGCAGTGGCCCACAAGTGTCAAGGGCTAAAACTCCTGGTTGTGGAAAAGGATTCTTTCGATGTGGGAAGACTTGCTGGGCTGACTGCTGACACACAAAACAATCTTTGCGATACGGCACGTGTCCAAACCTCACATGTTCATCCCACGAAAGAACCTTCAGCTGAGGGCTCTGCTTGTAGACTTCTTTGATGATGGAAGCACTGATTGCATTCATGAGACCAGGTGCCCAGCGTTCCAACTGTTTGGAGCTGGTGACATGCCGTTCAGGTTGTTGGGGAGGCATTTCAAACTCCTCCATAGACATGTCAAACGTGGTTCCCAGTGTCGTAGGCTTTGGAGCAAGACCTCCCAACTTTCCTTGGTTGAACGTCACTTCTTTGAGCTCGAACTCCTTGCGAAGACCTTGCCATTCTGCAGTGTCCCAGAAGGAGACGACATCCGGTTGATATGCCTTTGGTGATGCTGGTTGCTCCAGCACCAAGTGTACTGGATCAGGTTTCAGCTGAGCTTTTCTTGTATACTCGGCAACCATGAACAAGAACAGCATGCGCCACATCAGGACATCATCTTCTCGTAACATAGCGCGTTCCCTTGGATTGGCCCATGACGCTCCAAATTCTCCTCCTCCCCAATTCCGAATCGGACGTGGAGCATCAGGCTGTCCTTCAATTGGTCTGTGGCGCAAAACACTTCGGCTTCGACAATTGGGGCCACCAACCACAGCTAGTAGCTTCCCTTCCAAAGCCGCACGAAGCAAACTCGGATATGGTCCTGAGTCTTTTTCCATGTCATGAGCAGGACCATGTTTCTTGTCGATCTCAAGGAGCAACCTATCTCGCCCTCCTTGTCCTTTGAGTGACCTCTTCAGAGTGAAGCCACTTTCATCACCAGAGTAGAGATGAAGAACGAAGCCTTCTTGTCTCATCGTCCTCCTTTGTCTCCTATTCGCTGGAATGTGACTCCAATCTGCAGGTTCCACAACAAGCCGCTTCTTCAGCCAATCTGGAAGGCCAGAGAGAATCGGATGAACCGAGATCAACTGATTCATCCATTGAACCTCCTCCTCAAAAGAGATCCGATTGAGTTGTACTCCTCGTTTGGCGTCCTCAATCTCTGAGATCAACTCAAGAGCCAGCTTCCTTGTAACTTGTGGACATCCGCCGCAATCTTCTACATGTAGCAGGCCTCTTTGAGGGTGTTTCAATTGCAAGACACCCCTTTTCCAAGAGACTTCACATCCCAACAAGTCAATCAACAGTCCCATGGGGACAATGGGCTCAATGTTCTGATCGCTTGTGATCATTGAACCAGCTGATGTCATATGAAGCCGAACACATTCTCCATTTGCAAGGGTGACCTCAACTTCCCTCAAGCTCGAGTGCTCCTCCTCACTTTTGGATGAACGAAGAGGATGAGTTGCACCGCTGTCTATCAAACCTTTTCCTTGGCCTGTACTGATGCGACCAAGCTTGAACGCCTTCAGTGAGTTGAGCTGAGCTTGAAGGCGGGACAACACTTCACTTCGACCATCTTCATCGTTTCTTGATGTGGTTGAAGAGCCTGAAGACGCTGAGGCAGAAGTCAAAGACCGCAGCATTTTGTTGGCCTCCTCTATGAGGCCCTTCATCGTCTCTGAATCTGGTCCACCTTCTTCTCTTTGCTTCCCTGCGCTTTGTGTTCCTTCTCCGTCCATCTTTGCAGCCTTTGGCTTTGGCGGCGATCCTTCGCCAGTGCCCTTCCTTGGACAATCTGGAGCCATGTGCTCCGTGGAGCCACAAGTGTAGCATCGCCTCTTGCCATCCTTCTCTGAGTGTGAGAACCGACAATCACGACCTTTACGGCAGCCTTCTGTAGTGAGAAAGAATCGACACTTGACCCTTTGACGATCGGTTTTCTCCTCCTCACCACTTCGCTCCCTTCCTTTTCCTTTCCCTTTGTTGCCTTCTTCCTTCTCGTGCTCCATGGACTTGATCTTTGGCTCCACCTTGGCGTTTGATGCAGGCGGTTTCTTTTCCATCTGTGACAGTTGTTCACATTCCGAAAGCAAGTGCATGGCAAACTTTGTGACGTTGTCAATAGTGGGCACCGTGTCAATGCCAAGGCCATGTCGTGCTAGGGAAACACGAAACTGCAGTTCCCGATTGGACTCCAAAACCTTGCGAGTCATCTTCAGCAATCCACGCGCTAGCAGTGTTGGGTCCGGCATGGTCGCGCCGATCTCAGTGGCTCGCTGGCGCCATCGAAGCCATTTCCTCAAAGCAGTAGGCGCCTCACTTAAAGAACTGACTTCAGAAGGTTCTTCAAGACTTTTGAGGAGGGTATGTTTCTCAGACACTCCTCCTGGGCAGTACGTCACGTAGAGGTGCGTGATGATAGAGAAGACAGACATTCTCCTACTTGACACAAGCTCCTCTCTGACTTGTTCAGGGACGGCCTGCAACATCATCGCCGCCACTCGCCTTTCTAGGCGTTGCCATTTCTCTTGAACCAAGGATGGTGGTGGTTCTCGTCCTTGTTGAAGCCTTTCAAGAGGAGACAGCTGCATATGCCCCTGATACCAGACCTCAGCCTCTTTGAGAACCAGCTTCCACCAAGTCTCTGCAGTGGCCGACAAATCGGAGACCACCGGTTCGATCAGCAGCAGCCAGTCTGTGAGTTGCAAGGGAGCCTGAGTTGAGCTCCAGACAGGTAGAGCCGGTAAATCATGTGGACCCGCTCTAACAACCTCGATCCCTCTGACCGCTCCTGTTTCATCTCGATCTTCATTGAACTTTCTTTGCAATTCTTTCATGTTCTCCATCATGAGGACCATGAATTCCATCGACTTCTCCGCAAATTCCGTGGCTCCTCTCGGAGGAATCGGCGTTGACGACGCACCTTTTTCGGCTTCAAAAGGCTCACCTCTATTTGGTCCTCCATCAGCCTCAGGTGGTCTTTCAGCCTCCTTCGGGGGTCTTTCAGCCTCCTTTCTTTCATCTCGACTGCTGCCATTCGGAGTGGAGAATGACAGATCAACTTCTGGGTCTGTTCCACCCTGTTGCAAGCTGGACTCTACAACGTGTAACCTTCTCGTGAGTTCTTCATTTTGTGCTATCAGGTCTTTCATGTATGACTTCATCACCGCTAGTTCATTTGATTCAGCATCCAACCTAGCTTCTTCTCTGTCTAGAAAGGATGGTCTTCGAATTGATGGGAAAAACGTGCGAGATGGCCGTTCCTGGTACAACCATGGAGCTTGACTATGCAGCAGTGCCATCTGCCGCAACTGTTCTTCCGAAAAAAGTGGTGTTTGCATCTCAGGAGTGACTGGAACTTGGGGCGTTTCTGCCTGACTGCTAGCAGCACCCCTACCCATCCCAGACCCTGGTGGTGGAGTCCTCTGATGGTCCACCTGAGCTGGCTTTTCTGAGTCCTCGATCCTTGGCTCTGATCGTGGACGAACTTCAGAGGCTCTGGAAGCAGTGGATTCCGGAACTGCTGAACCTGGACGGGCTGGAGTGATGGCGGCAGGGGAGGTCTTAGGCATTGGACTTGACTTACCCTGGGTGTCTTTCACTTTTTCTAACGACTCCGTTGGGGCATCTTCTATCCTCAACCTTTTCTTCTCCTCTTCCTTACTACCAACCTCCTTTCCATCTTCTAGGGCCAATTCCTGTCCTTCTTCTGCCTCTCTCTCAAACCTTTCCTTTGCTTTCTGCATCTCTTCCATTCCTTGTCGCAACTCCTTTTCTGTTGCCTTCCTTCTACGTTGACCTTGGTCCATTTCTTCTATTGGTCGAGCGTTGGGCTCATAACCTGCTTTTGTGCAGGAGCCACAACCTATTTCCCACCTCCTCAGTTCGCACCTCACGCCTTTCTTCACGATGGCGATTGGATTTGAAGCTTCAAAAGGCAGCTGATCAATCGACTTAAATGTGAAAAATGAGATTGGAATGTGCTTCAAGTCTGCAAGACTTTCAAGTTGCATCAATGCAAAATGGAAAACGCTCTATGCAAAATGGGAAGTGCTCTTCTGCAGTTTCAATCATTTTGCTCAACACTGATGGGGAGTTCAAACAAACAACGCTCATAACCGGATTGAAACGGGATGGGTAGTTTGCATGGAACGGATTATTCGTATGCAGAAGCATCATTGACGAGTCTGCACATCCGTGTAACCTCCAAAACCGCTAGCTATTCATAATTAAATCATAATAAATCAGCACCTGCATATGTAGAGAGGGTGAGAGAGTGAGACGTGTAATGGATACGTCTGTGTTCACAAATTTCATTCAGACAGCGCTGTTCTCCCATCTATCATCTATCGAATCTATCTCCCTACCCACCTACAGCACCATTACCTACGTATCGGTGTGTATAGTGGCAGCGGGGTCAAAAATTAACGGTTTGGCGTTTCGCCACGAGCCACCCTGCCTGTGCGGTGTAGAAGGACAACTTCTTGTGCTGCCTGTGCGGGCGATACCATGGAGAACCTCCTGCAATCTAAGATAGCAATGGACAAAACTATCTTTACAACTGATTTGCACATCAAAATCATTGATTTGCCATTGCGATGACCAGAGGGTACTGGCAAAAATACATGGAAATGGATGTTTTTTGCTCCAAGTTTCTGTCCCGAATCTGATGCTTGCGGAGGCCTCTCCCAGCTACAACTGGGGTGTGATAACTATAACTCCCCAATGATAAGGGCGTCCAATAAGTTCTAATCTTAACCAGCTATGGTGGAGGTCACCATTGAGTACCAATTGCCCCCTTTTGTTGCTGTTCTTTTCCCCGAAAAAAAGGCACCTGGAGATCGAGACCAGCCCCTTGTTGTTCAAATTGCGTGGACGTAGTGCTTGGTGAAAACCTGCAGTCACAGGAGGTCTGGCGATCAACATGCCCTGTTTGGGATTGTGTTCAAATGGGCTTAGAATGGCTTAGATCACGGAGGACAATAGAAACCCTTAACAAACCACCCCAAATGACCCGGCCTGGTAAACATACAAAGTTTACTATGGGAAATCACCATGCTATTAATGGGTAAATCCATGTAAATCCACTATTTCCATGGCCATGTTCAATAGCTTTTTGTATGTTTACCAGAGGGTAATGGGATTGATCTTGTTCGTGGTGACCCATACCACCCATCATATCAACTGGGTTGGTATATTCTGAGTTGACTACAATATAGGGGTACCATTGACCATTGGAATTGTGACTTCATGGAAAACGGAACTGAACACATACAAAGATCAGCAATGTGGCTCTGACTTTAAAATATGCTACTCCCAAATCGGATGGTTCTAAGACCTTGTTGTCCCCAACCAAAATTGCATTTTTTTTAGACGGGCTATCGCATGCTATCGCCTGTTTTAAAATTCTCAGGCAGCACAAATCATATCAAGCTATATAAAGCTGCATCATCCAAAAAGGGGCTTGGTTGAAACCTCCGGCCATCGCGGCATATCGCGGCCATCGCCGAGCCACCGAAAGGGCTGTTGGTGATCTGATAGCCAACCGCCAGACGTTCCATCCACTCGGCTGACTCGGAGACGTTCAGCAACGGCTCCGGGAGCCCTGGGAGCCTTGGGGCGTCGAAGCTTGGATCTCCCGCGGTCATCGTAACATGTTAACATGGCAGTGTGTCAAAACCCTTGTACCCTTGTAGTTCACATCAAAATAGCTGGTAGATGGATGTTCATCCCCCTAAAAATGGTATTAATAGGTATTGATCCATACCCACATGGCAATGAAAACTCCCTATCCATGGCGGGTTAGTTACTTAGTTCGCTCGGAAAATCATCGAACTATGGTGGATAATCCAAGAAGACCGCTGCCATGGCCACATTGATCAATGGCATATCAATGGTTTGGTTTCGTTCGGAAAATCCAGAAACACGTATCCCATCACATATTATGGGGGATTCCGGCAGGTCTTCCAGTAAACCGAATCTATACAGTAATAGCAAACCATGGGAGATCTAAGACCTTCAAGAAGATAAAGAGTTCTGTTTCTTGGGAATGGGAACCGGTACTGTTGAAGATAAATGCAACTTGCAAATTCGCAAAGGGAAAGATTGCCATTCGTTCTTCGTGGCCGCTCACTACGTAGTCAACAAAATGTGGGGAAAAACTGTTCCAAACATACAGATCATACACTGATATGCTGTAGCAATAAGGATTCAATGTCACAAATCATACAGTATCAGTTGTTTGGAACCATGATGCTGATGCTGAAATAAGCTATGCGTGGTGTTGTGTTCGGGCATAATGGCTAGGCTTGAACCCAAGTTCTCTTCCTCCATGAAAACTGCTCAAGACATCTCAAAGCTAGCCCATTTATCTAAAGTTCACATAGCTAAAGCATGGCAAGAGCATGGCTAACCTTGGACCCTGCACTGTTTAAAACATCTTGGAACAGGATAGCATCGGATACCATACACACATTACCACTAATCCCATCAAATCCCATCATGCTTTCTGAGGGCTGTTTGGTATATGAACAGAGGATGGGATAAAAAACAGCAGCCCAAAAACCTTGACCCGAAATAATCACCCACAATTTCCTGACAATTTGGATCAACAATGATAACATTCCCGGATTCTTCTCGTTGAACAGGTCAAGATACATAGGTAAATTAAAGTAAGTTCAAAAGTATCTATCAACTGTCAATCTATCAATAAGCTATCAATCTATCAACTTAAACTATAATTCTGATCTCGAATTCTGATCTCGATCGGAATTCGAAAATCCTCCAAGCAGCTCCTCCAGCGACGGCACGGCAAAAAGAGCAGGATCCACCCGGCAGTCGGCGAACTGCCACAGCACCACGGCACTAAATCCCGAAGCCATAGCGGCTGAGATTGTGGCCCCTGGCGCCATGACCCGAGCCATGACACGGTCGGGTCGTTATGGTGGCTCCGAATGGTGGAAATCTGCCAAGAAATCTGCCAAGAAATCCGGAATAATGGAATCTTCATGAAAAAAACAGGAGGGAGAAAAAAAAAACATGAAAAATGGATAGAATGGTGGAGCTTCAATGGGGCGTTGTTAACCCATATTTTACCATCAACTCATATCAACTCTGGTTCTCGTTTCGAAATCTGAACCGTCCCACCCAAGGAGTTGGGAGGAGCCATATCCCTCTCTCTCCGGATTGTTGGGACTAAGAGTCATGGCGTTTGAAATTCTGGCCCAACTTCTGGCCCAAAAGCCCAAAATTCCACATCTAAATGGGCAAGAAAAAGAGTTCTGCAGGTCATTTGTCCCCACAGTTCTGAAGGTATCCTTGAAAATTCAGCAGACTAAGCCCAAAAAGATCCAGGTAAAATTGACCACTAGTCACTGTTGTTGGACTTGACTTTCCTCTCTTTGTGGGTGTTGCTATAGCAGGTTGTTGGGCGAAAAAAAAACAACCCCACAGCACCATCACCAGCATCACCACCATCGCTCCTATGATGGAGGCTTGCCGCTCTTCGGACCACATGTCCTGAAGTTCCAAAACATTTCAGGTCAACCACTTTGAATCCTGAAAACTGAAGAAGGTCACCAAAACATTACTCAGTTGCATGTGGGATGTACCCTGTGGTAAACTAACATAGCTATTGAAAATGGCCATTGATAGTGGATTTACCCATCAAAAATGGTGATTTTCCATAGATATGTAAACGTTTACCGGAGGGTATATCCTAGCTACAAACATATACATTCTGTGTCAATGGGTTTGTCACTTCCTCATCCCAGCCTTAGCAGTTTAGCACCCCCGGAAACCATGATGGATGTAGGGCCGTAGAGGATGGAATATGATGGAATCACATCTTTGGGGCCATAGACTGCAGGTGCTGAAGCCCGAGAGAACGGAGGGGCACAATGCGGCACAAAAAAATGGAGATGCATGCAGAGTAACATCAAAAATGCCCCTATACATAGCGCAATTTCGTAACAAAACAACTCGCAGTTCCCCGAGCATTTGGAGTCAACGCACCGGCTGGGGGCTACATTTCTGAGCATCAAAGGATCATCACTGCAGCTGTTAAACCAAAAAAAGATAGCATGATCAACCCACCCGTCACCCACAGTGGCTTGCAAGCAATGGAAAGGTTGTGGAACCTACAGCAACAGCGGATAATCCTGCAAGAATGATGATATAACCTATTTCATTGCAAAGATGCAGGAATTTGGTTGACCCTAAAAATTAACCAAGGTCTAGCTTAGTCCAACCAGGGTTTGATCGGTTTATTGCTCCAGGGTTTCGCATTGAATGTGTCCATGTCATGGATATATATGGATATCCCAACCTATCCTAAACATGTCCCATATGTGTTTCTTTTTTGTGGCGGAAGAATGTATCGGTCCTAAAGACCCCATGTTTTCGTTTAAAAAAAACCTCAGCTATCCCATGATACCCTTCAAATCTTCCATCAAATCGCCCAAAATTTTCTCTTGGATCTCCAAATCAGAACAAAAAGTCGCTCCAACATCCCTTTTTGTGCCATGTTTCATCCCAAAAATCATCAACTTACTGGTGCTAAACGTAGGGAATGGATGCGAATGGGATGATTATGGATGATTATTGATAGTTAATTATGGATCATTCCCTTATTCCCTGCTAAGCATCAGTACCCTCTGGTAATTTAACATAGCTATTGAAAATGGTGATTTATAGTGGATTTTCCCATTGAAAATGGTGATTTTCCATAGCTATGTTAGTTTACCAGAGGGTAAGTGAAAAAACAATCAAAAAAGAAAACACCGAAATCCCAACACTTCCCCTTTTCGCCGCTGCACCACACCTCCTCTCCAGGACGACTGCGCCAGCCCGCCAGACCACCAGCACCAGCCTCGGCCAGCAGTAACGCCTTGCCTCGGAAAAGGCCAACGTTGGGAAGTCAACGCGCCGATTTCATCGGGAAATTCGGGGTAAATTCGAAGAGTTCACTTACCAATCCGGATTTCATCCGAGTTTCTGATTTTGGGGGATTGTTATATTTATATAGCACTCAAATTGGTTAACCTGTGCTAATCAAACGTGGCAAGGGAAAATCCCCTATAAATGGAGGCTTATAATGTTTATTTATATATATGTATATATATATATAGAGTTGGAAATTCATCTGTAAATACGGAGATGTTCCATCGATGTGTTTGATTATCAGGGGGTAAACAACCCCGTTTACGATAGCTAAGTTGACGCACATAGCTTGGTTAACGTTTGGGTTTATGGAGGAAATAACTATAGTTAGTGGGGGTTATAAAGCAACCTATAACAGGGGATCTCACCTTATAGTTGATTTCGTGGTCTACTTGAGTATATTAGATGGAGTTTATCGCACCTGTCCAAACAATGATGGTCAATTGATTCAGCACCTTCTGAAATTCACACGTACTTGACGCTGCGCTTCAACGTCTTTCACTTGCCCTTTCACTTGCACTTAAAGCTACGCTTCAACTTCTTTCAGTTACACTTGAGTACATAGACTTGATGCTATGTTTCATCATCTTTTACTTGTACTTGACTTCTGCTTTTGCCTGCACTTGATGCACACACATATTTTGTTCTGCACTTCAACCTGTTTCACTTGTACTTGATGCTACATTTCAACATCCTGCACTTGCACTTGATGTTCAGGGAACAGCGAGTTTTCAAACAGCTCAAACAGGCTCAGACATAATGAATCTCAACTGGCTAACTTTAGATTGTATATAATTATGTGCAAGGGATTCTGATTCAGAAAAACAATTTGCTGGGAGGGTTTGGAAACGCGAAAAATCACCGAGGCGGAACTTTTACAACTTTGCCAACACCCTTACATCGCAACAAGACTCTGATGTTCAACAGCTCTCAGGTAAAAACACGCTGAAGCAAAGCAGCATCAGCATCCCAACACATGGAGCTTTCCTAAAATGCTAATGGGGGTACCCCTAAATCATCCATATTAAAACCAGATGTTCTATGAAATAATATGAAATAAACCACTATGGCACCAGTAATCTATTTTGGGGAACTCCCATTGATTTTTCTGGCACCCCATGGGCCCATCTCCGAGCTCGCTGGCAGCGGCCTGGATGATTGGCCCGCGCCCATTCCGCATAGCTCTCCCAGGTCTCGGGGATTTCCATGACGGAGGCGTCATACCAACCTCCGGGCGCCGTGGCTTAGTTTTTCGGCTGAAAAAGGCTGGAAGTTCGAAACCCGAAAAACACCACGGATCTTTGGGCAATATGACACTATGACACTATGAGCTTTGTCTAACTTAAGCCATTTTTGAGGTCATAACTGGGTGATTCAAAAGCGATCCCGAATTTCCAGCAGGTCTCAGGTCGCCTGGATAGTCATTGAAGGCAATGACATCTGCCAAATCCAACGTCACATCCCGGGTCTTATGCCTATCATGGCTTCATCCGAGAAGACGTCCGATGGATCGTGATGGATTTGGCGGAAAAACGGGACCCAGAACCCGATTCGTCCAACATACTCCAACCATTGTAAGTCATCACTTCAGTTGCATCTGCCCTTTCCATCCCTTTCCAGCATGGTGAACTGGGGAAAGGTGCTGCGAAGTTCGGTTCATCGGGCGCATGTTCCAGAACTGGAGCAGTCTGGAACCTGGACTGTAAACCATGAGATGATAGTAAATTTCTGATGAGAACTACTGACGGGAATGAACCTGATACAGTAAGATTCATCAAAATTTTATTTCCTGGGATTTTCATCAGAAATTTTCTCCCCATCAGTAGTGTCAACCCCGGATGATGTAATAAACCCTGACTATTCATTGGCAAGGTTTAAATTAGGCCCCCAAAACCTTCCCCCCAAACCTTCATAAAGTAGGGCTTCGCAAAAATCTTGGATCAACCTTACTACATCCCCTATATATCATATTGACATATTGTTGGTTACATGTCCATTATATTCCCATGATATATCCCATGATTCGACATGAAAATCCCCATGAATTCCATGCAATCCCCGGTGATAAATGGTTACCTGGCAATCAAATGTGGCGATAAAATTCTCCGTTGATATCATTGAGGTCAATGGATTGTTCAATATAAACATGATGAATATACTCCATTTATAGATCTTCCATGGGATTTTCCCATGGGATTTTCCCATGGGATTTTGGCCGTCCATCTCCATCTCGTTTTCGTGGCCCACCTGGAGGCCCAGGTCACCAAGCGAGAGGTATCCTTGCTGCGCGCCAGGGCGGCCAGGGTTCCGTAGGCCTTTTGGCCGCAACCCAGTTGCGATGGGGTGATGCTTGTGATGAATCACACTTGAGGTGATCACATTTCTAAGTGATTTGCCAGTTAGTAGATGGTTCAATGGCCATGACGAACTGGATCCGATTTATTGGAGCTACCTACCATAGAAAAAAGGCCTATTTCTTAGGGCTATGTAAGGGGATATCCCCCAAAATATGGCCTTATATGGTACAGTACCTCCATTTTTGGATCCTGGAATTCCCATTGAATGGTATATCCCATTGGTTTTTGATGTTTGATGGTTGTGATTAATCACATGTCTAAGTGGCTATCATACTGTGGATGGTTGCAAAATCCACCAGTTAGTAGATGGTATATCCCATTGTAAATTGTAATCCCATGATTTACATTGTTTTACTGGTTGATGTATAACACCAACTTTAAAAATAATGATGTGGAGTGTTTTTTGAAAGATAGTACGCTATATATATATTTTTAGATTGTTGGATTATATTTGCATTATTTCAATGATGCTTGCAGAGTTTGTTGGATTCAGATGGTGTTTTCATATGTCTTTTGAAATCTTTGATTTTGGAAGATCCATCCTGGTGATCAATGGGATTGTTGAGGGGTAACTGTTTACCCTCTGGCAAACATACAAAAAACTATGGAAAATCACCATGTTCAATGGGAAAATCCACTATAAATGGTCATTTTCAATAGCAAACTGTTAGTTTACCAGAGGGTAACTCGATCGTTTCAGTATGCACATGTCGTCGACGTTCCTCAAGAGGCTGAACGGAGGAACGGCAACGGAATGGAAGCAACGGAAGCATCCAGGATACTTCCGTGCATCTTTTTTCGGAAGTTTGTTCAGACACCCAAACGATCCCATATGCATATAGATGCATATATGCGGCACATGAAAAATGGAAAAAAAATAGCAAGGTTTCATAACTAATCATGAATCATAACTATATACCATCTATATACATCTATATACCATGATATACCCCCAAAAATACTAAATCCTAACCCAAAAATCCCCAAAAATCCCCCATTGTTCTTGGCATCTCGAAGCCCCACCTGGCGGCTGGCGATTTCGTTGGAGGCGCCCTCGTTGAGGAAACCCCAAATGATCACCTGAGATCCGCCGCCTCGAAAAATCTGAATCAAACATGTAAAAACTATGGGAAAATCCGCTGATTTGTTTCGTGTTGTTTAAGAACCTGTACCTGAAGTTTTTGCCTGATCTGAAAGTCAGGAAGAACTCAAAATTTGATGCTTGAAGAATTCTGGAATCTTGGAAACTCATATGTTCCCCATTAAGCATCTAATATGTTGCCGGTAATGTGGGTAAAACAATGCCATAAACCATCCCCCAGTCATTAAAGATGGTATGTTTACCATTCCCAGTCGTGGGTGGTTTATGGCATTGTTTTACCCGCATTATATAAATATCCCGTTATCATCATTATGATCATCATGATTATCATACATTATGATCATGATTATCCCATTATAGATTATAAACATAATAGATATGATTAGCATAAGTTTTTTGGTTTCTAATTTATAAATATTTATAATGGGATAACTCATATTATCTGGTTATTAGAAATTATCCTATTAGATATTAGGTTCATTATCTGGTTTCATGGTTATTATCTGGTTATTATCTGGTTTCTCATATTAGCCATATTAGATATTATCTGATGGGATAACTGGGATAACTCATATTTTTCTGATGGGATAACTCATATTACCCATATTTTTCATGGTTATTATCTGGTTATTAGAAATTATCCATATTAGATATTAGATATTCTTATACCATTCAGCAGAGTTTTTGTTGCGCCACTGCCAGGCACTGCCAGGTGGCACTTGGATGGTTCATGGAGGCATCAATGGTCTCCTCCAAAGCCTGTGCCTCGCGGAAGTTTGGTTTGATTGGAAATACATATGATGTCCATATACATATATATATATATACATATGTGTGTTTATATATACATATGTGTGTTTATATATACATATGTGTGTTTATTACTATTGTATATATATATATATGTATATATATGTGTGTATATTGGTATTATGTAGGGGAATCGTGCCTAGTGATCATATATACATATTTAATAATAATAATAATAATGTAAAATGTCATGGTAATGGTAATGTAAGGGAATGGAATGGAATGTATGTATGGATATGTATATGCTATATATATATATATATATGTGTATAATCGTGCCTAGCGAGTGTTTCAGCAATTTATACTGAGCCGTAGTTCGTTGATGTTCCCAGCCATAGATCCACCTCCATTGAGTTCGTGTATGTCCCAGCCATTTTGGATTACCAATTTGGGTAATTTCAAGTGATTTCTACTACCTTGACTTGGTAGCCAAAACTATTAATAATTATTAGGCTATGCTACCTGTTCATGATTTGTGGGCAATCCCTGGCTGCCATAAACAACTAGCATTTTTCAGGATTCTTGAAATCACACACATCAAAATGGTGATATTTTAGGGATTCGTTTTTATTGGGTTGACATTGACTGGTTTTTTGTCATATTTTTGGGGGCAGAAGTTCATCCTGCAGCTCGATGGCCGCTGGCCGATCTGTTGCTCTACCCAGGCCGAAATTGGGATCTACATCAAATGATAAGCACCAAAAAAAGACTATGACTATAAATGTTCACATCAAAACCAGGAAAAATGGGAAACCGACATGCAAAGAAAAACTAATAAAATTCAGTAAATCACATCAGAAAAGAAGACGCACACAGATATATGTATACATATATATATATGTGTGTGTGTGTGTGCGTGTGCGTATGTGCACATATATATATATATACATATGTTTATATTCATCTATGTGTATATATATATATGTGTGTGTGTGTATATGCATCCATTAAAAACTTTAAAAAAAAAAAAACTATAAAGAACATCATCAGGCCGCCATAGTTTTCGCCTGAAGCGCCATGAAGGTCTCATCCATGAGATCCTCCAAGCTGGGTTGCCATGCCACCGTCTCCTCCCAGACCAATATGCCATGCCTGGCGGTCTACCAGGTCTACCAGGTCTACCATGGTGAAATGGGCCAAGATGTACCAAGAATCCATCCAAAATGCAGTTGTTGTTTCATGAATCTATCCAGAATGAAGGCTCAGGGAAAATGCTGGATTCATGGAAGATCAGCGAAATATCATTACGCTTGGGCTGCGCCATCTGTTGGGAATTTGACACTGGGCTTCACCCAAGGTGCTCATCACAAAGGTCCAAGAAACGCTGATCCTGGCCTCGGCTCGTGGCGGCGTAGCTCCTTTCCAAGTGGATAGGAAATCTACCTGTCTTGATGGGTTTTTGATCGGTTTTCCAGGAGTTTTTCCACTAGAGAATACCCTCTGGTTATGACTAACATAGCCATGGTATAGATGGCCCATAGAAATAGATGGTTTACCTATTAAAAATGGTGATTTTCCATGGCTATGTTAAATAACCAGATGGTAGTTGTTTTCCACTGGGCAGCAGTTAGTTGTTTGAATCCAAGTTGGGGTCTCTTCTTGCCTCATTCATGGGGGGAACCCACTCTGCCTATGAAAATGCCGCTTTCAAACACCGGATCACATATCCAGGGCATTCCAGGGCCATCCTAATGTGCATGAAGATGCTGCCCCGGGTGGATACAAATTCTCAAGTCCACGCTACCGACCAAAACGCATTTGGATTCCAATGCTTGACAACACATTGATGCGTACAGGTCACCACCCCTTTCCTCCGCCATGACATTCCCAGTAGCTATAGTGCGCGCCCCGGACGAAGTTTGCACCCAGCTGTTTCAGCAGTTGTATGTCTTCAAGAAGTTGCCTATGACAAGTTGAGGATTCTTTCTTGGCTTAATGTCAACCCTGGATTAGTATATCCCCAATTTATTAATATTGTGGGGTTCCCAAAATAGTAATATGATGTAATATGTCCTTTTACAAATGGTATTCCCCCAATTAGTAAACTAGGGGTTTATTAATCCTGAGCTGACATTAATCCCTTACCATTGCTTGGTGCTGTGGGAAACTCATTGGGTTGATATTTTCCGTCACCAAGGGGTTCCATGGCTTAAAAGGACTGGCTGTTTTTTTTCCCTGTATCTATTTTGTGGTCATCAAATATCTCAAATCTCAATATGTTCCTACTAAACTCCCCATTCATGGCTTCAACACGCTTTAACTATGCACCCAGATTCGAAAAACTGCGATCCCCCACTTCCAGGGTGGCCCAAGGCTACCATCCAAGTCCTTCATTTCCTCAGCTCAAGGGGCCCCATGGGCAGGTAGACACCGCCCTTTGGGTGACTCTCGTGGCGGTTCAGCCCCAACAGCATCAACGGCTGCCCGTTGAGCAGCAGCTGCCCTTGCCGCGCTTCGATGCGGCGCAGCCCGAAACGCACAGTGCTGGAGTCCACCTGCGGCTGCAGGAAGATTATGGCAGGTTAACATACTTTAACCACCAAAAAAAAACCTAATTTAACCCATAACATTCAGGGTTTGGCCAGAAAACATTAGGATTCATATTAGTGCGTTTTGATAGGGTTATGTTTCTTTCTAGGGGTGATGCCATGTGAAATCCCGTGAAAAATCTTGAAAATCACGCAATCCCTCATCCACCATCCAAGCACTGCATTTGAATGTGCGGCCCAGGAATGATAGGTGTTTACAACCCACTGAGGATATTCCATGTTTATGTGCTAAAAAAATATTTAACTGGGTTATTGATAAGGTTATTTCCCATTTACGACGCCTCGGATGCAGCCCAGGGTATGATCATACTATACACTGCCAATTCTGGAGCGTATTCAATCGGGGGAAGTGATCATCCTAATTTTCCAAGTTTCTGGGGTGAAGTTTGTAAAATTCCGGTACTGAGGTGCAATCTATGCCTAATTCTGGTGGCTGCAAACCGAGCATATCCACAAAAATCCTCCAACAATCCGAAACCAACGTCCAAAATCAAGGACATTATAATATATTATAATCATGAAAGTCAGTCATTGGTCACAAAAAATCGAAGAAAATCATCAGAAATCCACCACTCCGGTGGATTTTTTCCCCACCTGCCGTCCATCCATCAGCAGCGCCAGCGTCAGCAGATGCAGCGCCGGATTCGCAGGGCTCCACGGCCGCGCCCCCGGCACCGTCTCCCGCCACGCGGCGCCCGTGGCGCCCGTGACCGGGCGGCGGCTGGGCGCAGCGCCGTCGAAGGAGAGATGAACCTCGAGGCCTGGAAAGTGCCAAGATGGTTGGTATCTCCCGGGTAGTCATCATCTTTCTTGCCCAGTTGGATATGTTGAGATATATATATATATGTGTGTGTGTGTGAGATATGATATATAATATGTGTGTGTGTGTGATTGCGCATGTATGCACAGAGAGAGAGAGAGAGACAGAGAGAGAGAGAGAGATATATATATATACCCTGAAGTATAGATATGGATTAAATTGTAAACCAGCGCAGTGCCTTTGATTTCCGGTGGAGTTCATGGGGCATCTACGAATGCACGAGGACATCTACGAATTCACAAGACAAAATATTGAAGATTTAATCGGAGTTATGGTGAGAAATGGTGAGAAATGGTGAGAAATGGGATCTGGACAATTTACAATGAATCTGAAGCCTGATTTGAAGCACTTATTCGCCCGTGAAGTGACGAATTTTCATGGTTGGGGGCGCCCATAGAATACGGGCCATGTTTTTTAGTTGGGGTGATGGCTTCCCCAAGACCGAGCAACATTTGTGGTGATGCCAAGACGCTAAACCAATGATGACTTGGCCCGGAAAGAATTTCCTGAAAAAGGTGGGAGCCCATAGGTGCGCCAAGTATGAAAGGTAGGGTTTCACCGCCAATCATCCTCCGTGCTGCGACTCTATCTGCGTGTAGACATGCGAGTATGCGCATGTATGTATACATGTGTAATATTAATATGTAAAAACATATATATATATATATACATGTGTGTCTGTATAATTAAGTGTGTATGTGTGTCTGTATAAGTATGTGTGTGTGTGTTATTGTTATGTGCATATATATATATATATATACACACATACAATATGCATTCACCCCCACCCAGCCGTTTGTTGCCACCATGAGATGACTAGGGTCATACACGTCGCACCGATGCGGCAAGTGGCTCGTCGATGGACAGCCCTCTGCCACTTTCACCGTTACCTCAGCAGCCAGCCGTGCTCGCAGCACACGGCCTGGATGGGGTGTAGATACCGTGGCAACTGGAAAATCCAGTGCTTGGACACCAAAAAACACCTGGGATGTGCGAAAATATCGAAGATGTTTTGAGTTTTACCATTACCACCTCGAAAATCGTCAGGAAAATTGCCAGTGTCAAGGCAGGTGAGGTCAGAGCCTTCCGTTGCTGTCTTAGTTTTCGCCACGATGGTCCCTGGGTGGCCGGCCATGATTTCAGCTCCCCCTAGCGGCGTTACCGCCACCGAGTGCAGATAACAAGTGGGCTCCAGCAAAACGTGAGCCTCGAAAACGCACCGGGGGGAATGTCCCCGCAAAATATGGATTTCACCATTAAACCATCATCAAACATATCAAAAATTATCAAAATATAGAGAAATATAGAGAACTATCCGGGATTTAACATGAGTCATAGAAGGTGAGTTAGCATGATTGGATTGATCAAATATGGATGGCTGGGAAAACTTGAAATAAATTGGTTGAAAGCCCGGAAAATCCATGCTTAGTTTCTGGATGGCAGACATGACTCAAAGATTGGGGACGGTCCTCTTCACAAGACATGACCGCACACCCCTGTGGGCAGAGAATCAGCTTCAAATGGAGGTTTCCTAAAATGGGGGTACCCCTAAATCATCCATGTTAATCGGATTTTCCATTATAAATCATCCAGCTATTGGGCCACCCCCATTTATGGAAACCCCTACTGTACATGAGCTTGCCGGGTAAAAAAATGTGGAAAAATCCCCCTGTTACCTCTTGTTGGTTTATGCCTATCATGGTCTATGCCGTGATCCCCAAATATCCCCAAGAAAGCGCATAGATTGCTACTAGAAATCTAACATTAAAATGTAAATATGCCCAATATCATGGCCTTTGATTGTCTATATTTCATCCCCGATTTTATAACTGTTATAATAAAACAACAGTATTCAACAGTTGGGCAATGTTCAAAATCCTGCGTCATTGTACTGGCCGGTCGACAAGGATTCTCACAATGGATTATGACAATTCCTAATATATTGGATAGTCATGGGTAGTCTAATCCCCGAACTATATAAGGGACGAGGGTCACATTTGCCCTTACCCCAGGGTCACATTCGCCCCTACCTCACAATCCTTTCCATTGAATAAGTCATTCAACCTTTTAGGGTTTGACCTGGGGACAAGGGACATTTAGGGGGGACTTGGGGACATTGGTTAGGGGGGGGCACGGGGTCACTTGCCTTTCGACTGAATAAGTCATTCAACCTTTTAAGGTTTGCTCTGGGGACAAGGGACATTTAGGGGGGACTTGGAGACATTGGTTAGGGGGGGAATGGGTTCGCTTGCCTTTTTACACTTGTGCATTACATTACATTTTAGTTACCACACTGGGTATCAAACACATCCAGAATTGGATGTTACAACATAGCATCCAGAACGTCTTGGAAGTTGATTAAAGTGGATGTTACAACATAGCATCCAGAGCATCTTTGAACTGACTTCAAGTGGATGTTGCAGTGTAGGATCCAGAGCGTCTTGGAACTGACTTCAAATGGATGTTGCAGTGTAGGATCCAGAGCGTCTTGGAGCTGCTTGAAATGGATGTTACAACGTAGCATCCACAGCGTTATGGGAGTTACTTGAAATGGACGTTGCAACGTAACACTTGAAAAAGACGTCGTAGCTGACTGTCACAGCTTGAAAACGATCCTTTCGAGACTCTGAAACTATGGCGCCTGCCACGAAAAACGAAGTCGGATGTCACATTCGCCCGTACCCTAGGGTCACGTTCGCCCCCACCTCCACCTTGAGTAGGGTCAAGTGCGACCCCACATGAGGTAGGGGCAAATAAGACCCCCATGCCACTACATAGTCATCAACGAACCATCATTTGTCAGTATGTTATCCATTTATATCATGTATCATCCTATATCATCTTATTTCATCCTATATCTCCATAGTTTCATGGTTCAAATATGTTAAAATCCCCAGGAATCAGCCAACATGAACCGGTTCACGCATGGCCTCGACTGGGCGTAGCAGCCCACCAGGCTGAAACCAATCGAAGTAGAGACGCTGCAAGGTGCCGAAGCGACTGTCCGCCAGCACCAGCAGTTCCTGGTGGAAAAAATGGAGATTTCAACCAACAGTGGTTGGTACCTACCATACACAAGGGCTAATGTATGGGCTAAATTTCATGGAATCTCCCCACCTAAAATATCCGAAAATCAGAAAATGCTACAAATCTGGCTGATTTTTTAATATGAAGCAACGATTTACCACATATACATATATATATATATTCTTATCTATATATATATATATGTGTGTGTGTGTATGTATGTGCATGTATATATAGACACACACACACATATATATATATATATATATGTATGTGTGTGTACTGTATATATATATATATACGTATTTTAAAAAAAAAAAACTTCCTTCCAGTGAAGTCACTGTGTGAGGTCATGATCAAATTCAGCCAAACAAATGCGGGAAAAAAAGCTGGAGACTAACCAACAAACATCTGAAGACTGAAGAATTGTGAGATCACGTGGAATTGTCAAACGTCAACCGGATTCGAGAATAGTGTCTTTTTTGTCCCGAAAAATCTCATCGGTTCAACAAAAACACAAGCTTGGAATAGTCTGTTTGAAAACCCACAGCCTTCATTTTGGTCACACGTTTCCTGGAAAGTCAAAAACCAAAAAACTGTTGTTGTCAGGCAATTTTAAATGAATCATATAGAGAGAGAGAGAGAACTCCAATATAAATATATATATACTTTTATACTGCTACCACACAAATTTCTTCTGTTTATTTCCAAATCTATCCGCGGTGGCCCATACGTGCAGGGTCGGCATCCAAGCTTCCCCCGATCGTTTCGGGACGGGGACCACGGGGTGTTCCACCGTCAGGTCCACCCAGAAGGGACTGTAGCTGCCCTCATGCCTCGATTCGACCATGGATGCCACGGTATGGTGCGTCCTTTTGGAATACATCGAATACCATGTATAGTATATTCATGTGGTATACTATAGTATAATATACCAATACATCTATACGTTGGTATTCTTAAGTGTATGCCCCCACAATATCTGTCTATACATTGGTAAGTATATTGGTAAGTACATTCATGTGGGTATAACAATGCCATTTTTACCACCCATGACTGGGAATGGTAAACATAACCCCAACCAAAAATTGCTGATGACTGGGGGTACCTGGAGAAACCCGGAAATCCTGGAGGCTTTTCCACATCTGTTGGTTTACTGCTTGGTGAAGTGCACAAACAGCCATATCATGGCCATATCTGTTGGGAAAGTGACAAACTAAACCCCCAAAATCCATGGCGCAGGTCACTTTCAGGAAAGTGACCTAAATTTGGGCAACGGGAATTCTCCATCACAACTTGTGCCTTTTCCATCACAATTTTCTTAACTAGTATGTGGTTGGGAAACTCCTGGTAGCTCCTTAGCTCCCCATTTAATAGGGAATATGAATACCCATAGCTCCTTAGCTCCCTCCTAACCACTGGATAGTTAAGGTCACAATCTATCACACCTTTTGCACATAGAAAAGTCACCGCTTTGGAACTCTTCAGAGATGCCAAAGCGGTCAGGATTCGCAGCTAAGTGGAAATTCACCATTTTTTTCCAGAAGATTTAAGAAGTGTAAGAAGTAAATCACCATGTTTCATCATATTTCACCATGTTTCAAAGATAAAATCATTGCCAATCTTAGACATCTTAGATACCCTGCAACCAAAAAAAAAAAACACATTGCTGGTTAGCAGATATTCCCATTGATACCAAAAAGACTAGTTAGGATTAGTTTGTATCCATCTAAGATTGTTCTAGAAATATGGCCAAAAACACGGCAAAATGGGGCACGATCATTGATCTCCGGCCTACCAAGTGCTGCCGATTCTCTCCTTGACCTTCACGCGGTCCAAGAAGATCACACAGTGCAGTCCGCAGCCGCGGAAGTACAACAGGCTCACCTCGCGACGTTGCTGGGACGTTCCGTGAAAACCTGGGGACCTGGGGACGACATGGCTGGACGACATGGCTGGGGACATGGCTGGGGATGGAACAAGCAAAGCAACAAGCGAAGCAAAATTTCAAGAGCCAAGTTCAGCAACATGTTGGAGGTTGGAAGCTTTGAAGCTTTGAAGCGTTGGTTCTTTGAAGGTTTGGGGAGATGTTTGGGATAGAAAATTCATCAACTTTGGTAAGGAATCATGGGATAATTAAGCGGATTTCGAACTAATCATTGGGTCTTGCGTCTGGTGGTGCCACTATGTAATAACTAACCATCAATGGAAATCCTACCAGATATGTCTATTATATTTATATTGTAATGAGGTAAATGGGTATCCTAGTTTCTGGATTTGGGCAGTGCTGGGTAAAGGTATTTGGCATGGATATGTTTATATATTAGATCCGAATGGAACATTGAATGCACCATGGGGAATTGACAGAACACACTTGAAAAGACACCTTTTTATATGGGAAAAAAAGATGGGTTCTTGAGCATTTCCTCTAATTAGCTACTTGATGGTGATGCAAAATGTTTGACTAATCTGGGCTGACCAAAGACGTCTGGGTGATTCTAAGAGGTAACGACGACTGGACCCTGGATGCGGAAAATTGACATCTTCAACCGGCAACCATTTCATCAGGATCATCATAATGTGTTCTCTTTTATATTATATGCTACACTCATCGAATCCAAAAAAAATCTAAGTTTTGCGTGGCTGGACTAAGGATTGCCAAAATCATCCTCATCCACCAATACAAAAAGATCTCAGGTAGAATCAATTTATCTACCCTCCATGGCTAGTTCGTTGCAGTCCGATGATTTTCCCAGATGAAGATAGTTCTGGGATTTCTCAGCCACGTTTGTTCACCATTCGGAAAGCCACTATCATTACCAGGCGTTATTACTATGTTACCCAAACGCAGTGGCCTCAAACTTCATGCTTTGAGATAACCATGGAAATTTTATTACTCACCATTCTTTGGGATATTGCCCTCCAGTAAATTAACATAGACCCTGGCATGAGTTGAGGTTGGAAGATTGGTGAAACCACTAAGAATTGGTGATTTTCAGGGCCTTTTTTTATTTTCCAGGGCAATCTGGGATATTGGATCATTACATATCACTACCATTAATGAACATAATAGTGGCTAACTATACCATATGATTACTAGCCACTATTAAGTGTTATTATTTCTACCTACACCAGACTAACTATACGTAAATCTGCTTACCATTACTATACCAGTCATGATTGCCTATTAATCATTTTTAATCATTATTATATATTATTATATCATATGATTTCCTACAGATTATACATATATATATATATATATAGTGGGATGTCCTATATAATTATGGTAGTATAGCATTATTTGCCACTATTCATACCATTTACCGTCTGGTTATGACAAACATAGCCATTTAAAATCCCAACCATAAATGGAGGTTTCTAGTTTCTAGCTGGGAAAATCATCTATAAATGGGCCATCTATACCATGGCGAACTGTTAGTCATAACCAGAGGGTATCCCACAGATTAATTAAGAGCCTGCGGTTCCAAGAAGGTGCGGTAGGCCACCACACCGCGGCGGCCCAGGGCCACCTGGGATAGATGGGTTTTTTGTGGACCATTTTTGGGGGATTTTGGATGGGAAAATATTGGAAAATCATTGGAAAATCATGGGAAAATCATGGAAAATCCCCATATGAATGGAGATTTGGATGGGAAAAGATGGGGAAAGTCCAATAAAAAATGGAGATGCTAGTGGGAAAAGATGAGAAAAAATTGAGAAAGAATGGACGCGATAATTAGTCTGGAAGATCATGCCGCGGTGAATGTATTTCTGGTGTTAGTGAAGTGCCATTTAGAAATGGGACAATCCACGAAGGGGGACGAATCCGATCGCCAGGGTTAGACAAACCACTTACAATCCGTGGCTTAATAACCATAATCTGGTTGGTGGTTGACCTACCCTACTGAAAAATATGAGTTCGTCAAATGGGATGATGACATTCCCAATATGATGGGAAAATAATCCAAATGTTCCAAACCACCAACCAGCAATTCTAATGATAATGGGTGATTTCATGGGTTTATAATGATGGTTAGTATCATTTGTTGGTTGAAATTCATGATAACTACAGTAACCCATGTGACCCATGTGGTTAGTTTACATGTGGGATAACCCATGAGATGGGACCTTATGATCACCAGGTTTACTGGTCCAGTTTCTAAGTGGGATGATCCTTCAAGAAATCAATGGATGGAGCTTGGTCCAGCTTGGTAAATGCTTCACATAGTTTATAAATATATATATAGTTTCATTGGGACTGAGTGGGTTGAAATTGCTGGACATATCGTATATTCACGTTTTTCTGGGAAACCTGGAAACTTCAGAAGAAATCCCAAACCTGAGTCACCACATGCTCGGGGCTTGGGGTTTGGTCGTGACCCCACATCAATTCTTCAAATCGATGGTGACCATGAAGAGGATATCAATCAGATTCACCTCATTTTCCAAGACTTCATCTTTGAAAAATGCGCGATACTCGGGTAAGGTGGAAAACCTAAGAATAAGCCATACCAATTCAATCATTCTGCCTCTTCCACACATTTCCACACCATTAGATTCATTCTTGGGCCTTGGGCCCATGTTCCCCGGGTTCCCCGGCAGTGCTTCCCACATGTCCAAGGTGCCAGGTCGCAGCATTCCCTGTGCCCGGGACAACCATCAACACAGCAGCGGTAGCAGGGCTGGGTCCCGTCCAGACATGGTTCTTCGCAGAGCCACTCCCTGCAAGGGGGCTGGGAAATCCCAGGAAGACTACATGGGCGGCTGGGAAAATCCTCATGTTTTAATAGTAAAACCACATGTAAAAAAACATAAATGATTGATTTTCCATTGCCATTTTTTATTACTGGATTTTAACTATGGGGCACCGGTGTGCGATAAGGAGCATCCGAAACTCGTGGGAAGAAACTGAAAGGGTGGGCTCCAAAAAAATGCATTTGCTGCATTCCTTCAGATGAAGTAGGATTCAAATGGAAGTATAATGCTATTTATTTATTTATTTATAAAATATTAACTAATGTATATAATAACTGACAACATTTGACACAGTTCAATGCAACCTGACCAGCTGCTCAAGGTCCCAAGGTGGCTTCACTATTATATCAGGAGGATGAGCAGCTCAGGGTCCACCAAAATGTACTCACCGGCAATCAAACCGGGAAAATCATCTATAAATGGACGATTCTCCATTACCATGTTTGATTACTGGAGGGTATCATCAAAATCTTGGGTCTACATCGGCTTATAAGCTTTGAGGAGAGGGGGAAAAACATAACTTCTTACTTTCTCCCACTAATCCCTTCTCCCTCATATTGAACACCCCCCAGAAAAACCATGGTGGATCTAGGGGAACTGTACATTCTTGGGACCATTTAGGGATGTATAACCATATTTGGTGTTCATATTAAACAACCCCATTCTATGGTCCCAAATACGTGGTCTTATCATGCCTTATCTCATACATCCACCATGATTGGTGGAGTTTTCACTCATGTCCACCCACCAACCCACCCATGGGGACGGGGTTCACGGATTCATGCGGATAGAAACCCGGATTCTCCATCATCATTCCATATCAGCATTACTATCCCGTATCTCCGGTAAAAGAAAGCCATTTTTGACACCCAGCATATCCTGGGAATTGTAAACAATGTAAACATCGCACCAAGCAAAAAATGGTGATGACTCGGGGTACCTGGAGCATGGTGCGTTTATGGCATCGTCTTACCCACATTATTCCAGATGCCTCAGATGCCTCAGATGCCCTCATCCCACCGACCGTGGTACCAGTCTAACCCTGGTGATCGGATTCATCCCCCTTTCGTGGATCATCCCATTTCCAAATGCTACGAAAAAAACTCAGCCCAGAAACACTAAAAGCAAATCCAAACACTAAGCTCTAAAGCTCCATTTCTATGGCTTTTTTTCCATATGTTTCCCCTACCATCTGGTTATTTAACAGTTTGCCATGCAAAATCACCATGCTATTAATAGGTAAACCATCTATTTCTATGGGCCATCTATACCATGGCGATGTTAGTCATAACCAAAAGGTAAGATGACGATCTCACCATTTTTGTGGGTCAAATCCTGGTTTCTGTTGGTTGACATATCGTCCCTGACATACCCAAAGGGTATATCTTTCCATCCAAATTTCCATTTCTCAGGGATCCACCCCCGCCCAGTCCACCTGGCATTAAAGGCATCCGGCACCCAGCGCTTGCCGCGGCTCCAGTCCTCCTCCCGGATCTGCGCCGCATGCGCCAGGGAACAGTCGCCCAAATAGGCGAAGTCCCAGGGACCTGGCACGTCTACTGAAAAACCCATCAAAAATGAATGGAACCTTGGGATTTACCCTCCAGTAAATTAACATGACGACCCTGGCATGAGTCGGGGTTGAAAGATCAATTTCCACTATAAATTGGTGATTTTCAGGGTCTATGTTAATTTACCAGTGGGTAACCATCAAAAATGAGGGAATATTGTGATTTCACCAACAAAAATGATGATATATGATGGTAAAATGGTAATATACCGTGACAAATGAGGAAAAAATGTGAGTTGAGCAACAATGGATATCTAGATAAATGATTTTTGACAAGGGGTGACTGTATGGGGGATAATGATTGGAATATACAAGAGCGCGTGGGTTATTAATGGGTATAACTATGGTAATAGCATGAAATAACACCCATAAGTTAGGACAAAACCCTGAACATGGGTTCTGCTGGGTCAAAACGAAGCTGGCCAAGAAAATCATCAACCAAAAAAAGGATGTAGAACCACCAGCAGCATGTGTTTTTTCCAAAACATGGTGCTGTCGCTATTTTGCCTGAGAGACGAGAAAAACTTGCATTTGTAACCAACTCTGAAACGACTTTTCATGCGCATTCCATACTCTGCCACCGTCTCCAAGAATGCAAAACCTGCCGACTCTGTATGCCATCTGCCCGGTATGTTCCCTGCCTGAAGTAAACTATGGTAAACTAAAAACATGCACGTCACTGACTGGATGAGGACATTCGAAGGCGATAAAATTTGGCAAAGTCGCGTGATGCTCAGGGATATGAGGCTGGAGCATGACAAAAATTCTGCATTTACAGTACCTTTTTCTCCTCTGCTCCCACCATCTCAAAGTGGAGTTGGCTTGATCAGCGAAAACGTTCGGGATATCTCAAGAAGCTACCGCCAAACTTAGAATCAACAAACATAATTATTGCGACCTGGACCCGTTCACCAGCCTCAATATTGGCCATACACCACCAAAAAAAGAGCAGTCATCAAGATATCAACATCATAGGAACCTTGCACAACCACGACCGCAACATCAATGGAGGATCGATGAAAATATGTGTATATATATATATATAATGTATATTATTTGGTTTTTTATGTTTTTTTCCTGTTCCCTAGTCATAAGCTGGTTTATATTTCGATGATCTGATCATGGTTATAATCAGAATAGACCCTACAGTAGCGCTCATCCAGTTATAAACCAACTATATAAATCTACATCATATGGTTGAGTTATAAAACCAACGAAATAAAAACACCACCATATGTCCTAACCCTCTGGTAAACTCACATTTCTATTGAAAATGGCCCAGTCGAAATAGTTTTCCATTTTCCCACTACAAATGGTGATTTTCCATAGTAAACTGTGACAGTTTACCAGAGGGTAACCCCTCAACATCCCTCAACATCCCTCATCACGCCACCTGAGAGTTCAGTCACCTGCCGGCCCGGATGGCGTGGAAATGGTAACACGCTGGCTCCAGCGGCTCCGGCGCCTCCCAGCAGCCACCAGGGCCATCGGCACATGCGGCGATGGAGGGCTTTGGAGGGGCAGCGTTGTGATTTTCGGAGGACTTTTCTGGTGATTTTCAGAGCCCCCTTTTTTTTGGGGGGCAAACAAAGAATCTTACAGATCTATCTGTAGATGTATTTATTGATCTATTCATGTATAGCATGTTCATTCATGTTTAGTTCATTTATTGATGTTTTTTTGGTGTGTCTGTATGTGTGCTATGGGGTGGGGAACACGCATGTAAGCTTTATTTTGCATGGACCTGAGATGTTTGCCCATCAATCTGTGGTTTTCAGATGGGTATACTGTGGGAAAGCCGGTAGCTGATGGTTTTCCATTTAAAGTTCTGAGCCGAAAGCCGCGGCCTCTTTTCACTGGACAGCATTTGCTACAGCTGGACGTGAACAACAAGTGGTCTAACCCTTGTGGACCTTTCTGGGAGGTAGGGTCCCCACTAGATGCTGGATCGTTCCCAACTCTCACGTGGTGCTGTTTTGATGTGTCTTTCGTCATGAAAAAGCCCGTGAAACAGGAACCTATACTCCTACCCCCTAAGATAGGAACCTACTATATAACTTACACCACATGGTTGCCACCGGCATCCAGCAAATCTTCCTGGTGCATGGTTAAAGTGGTAGATGCGTACAATAACAACATGTTGCAATACTTGGTAACAAGCTGAAACAAGCCATATCCGAAAAGCTGCAACCCGTAAGAAATGCGAAAGAAGTGACGTCCGACATGGATTTCAAGCAACGAAGTTTGGAGCTAAACTTGCAGAGTACGAGTATATCATTGATCGACGCTATTCCCCCCCACACCCCAATACACGGCAGGGGGTCAACATGAGTTTGCTCCCATATCATTGCCTATGACAGGAATGTACATGAGCGTGCTGGAACTACAGTACACCTTTCCAAGCACCAAATGGATGGGCCCAACCCCCAGACCTCCCAAAAATAAAAAGGTACAACGGTACAACATATAGATTCAGCATGATTCAGCTGGCAAATGATGGAAAAATCACGTACTTGGGGCATCTTGGGGCCTTGTCGTCTGCGAGTGCTGCTGGGTTTCACGAAGTCCTAGAGGTGCATGCTCTAGCCTGTTTGAAAGCACTTGTAAATAGCCATTGTGCCATGCGATGCCATGCATATTGCCATTTGGATAAGCCGCACACATCCATCATCACATCATCTTACACCATCAACTATAATGCACATCTGTGTGCGAAACCATGTCTGAAGGATCGCATTCAGAGTCTTCTTGTTTTTTGTCATGTTCGCTCCCAATTACAAAAAGGTTTTCTTTCATCCACTGGTGCCCAGTCACCCGTTCTTCCACAACCAACTTGATGAACTCTTTCGTCACATCATCCTAGGCGTGTTGGTAGCCGGCGGCACATCCAATGGTAGTAGTCAAGTGCAAGTGGGATGATATAACTATCATTAACTGACATTTTGTTTAAAAACATAATTCCTGGCCATAGCGGATGGACTTAACTTCTTTTGCCTCAAGACTCATCGGTCCATTGAGTTGACTCTTGGATCATCTTCCGAATGGTCGAAAAAACTGGCTGATTCGCAGGAGTCTGTGACCTGAAAGGGACCTATGTAATTCTACTGGGTGGATTGCAGTATTTCTGTTCTTTCAACCTCACCGTCTTTTGAAGTTTCACCACTTACCACGACTTGACCACACTTTTAGTGGCAACCCCCCGATGGAAATCCTCTAAACCTGGGATCGACTGGGTCAACACCGTCCCAGGAACCAGGACGAACTTCAGCGGCTCAAAGAACATGACGGGATTCTCCTGGCAGGCCACCGAAAAAACGATTTTTCGGCGGAGGAAAAAACATCTTTTGTTGGAAAAATGGTTCAAAAGTCATGCGCAAATAATTCCGTGTTACTGCAGCTGGATGGATGTCTGATCGTTACCATGTTTTTTTTGTGAATTAAGGCGAGGGCACTCCGTTCGCGAAATCGCCATGATAACATCAAACGTCCTTGTGAAAAACCAGCTCTCGCAGCTTAAAATGGTTGTTGTCTCTAATGTCAAGTTGGTGAAATCCATAGATATCTATATATATATATGTGTGTGTGTGCGTATGCATCTGTAAATATATATATATATACATGTGTGCGCGTGTATGTGTGCATGTGTGTATGTATGTATGTATGTATGGATGGATGGATGGATGGATGGATGGATGTATGTATGTATGTTTGTATGTCTGTATGTCTGTATGTCTGTATGTCTGTATGTCTGTATGTCTGTCTGTCTGTATGTCTGTATGTCTGTATGTCTGTCTGTCTCTGTATGTCTGTATGTCTGTATCTGTACGTTTTGTATGCATATGTATGTATGCATGTATGCATCTGCATGTATATGTATGTATGTATGTACGTACGTACGTACGTACGTATATATGTATGTATGCATGCATGAATGTATGAATGTATTAATGTATTAATGTAATGTAATGTAATGTAATGTAATGTATGGTAATGTAATGTAATGTTTATAATGTAATGTAATGTAATGTAATGTAATGTAGCATGTATGTTTATATATATATATATGTGTGTGTTTATTCATGTGTGTGTATGTATGTACATATATATATATATATATATGCTTGTTTTTTGGCGGGTTCCCATTTTGGCTGAAGTCCACATTGAAAGGGGTTCAACCAGTTCCCGTGGCACCTGCAGACTTTCGAGCACTTCGTGTGCCTCATCGCTGATCGTTCCTGAGCAAAGAATCCACCCCCAAAGGTCCGAAAGATCTAGATTCTGTAGATTTAATATGGCTGAATGATATTTAATGGATGTATATAGCTTGAATCTCGCGTTTAAAGGTGTGACCTATTTGGTTTGACTTCTTTGCATCAAAAACGGACAGAAAAACATCAAGTGGCATCTAGCTGGTGGAAGTTTAGGAATGTGGAAATGGGGGTCGCCGTGCTGTTGCGGCCTAATACATTTGGTGGTACCCCAGTGAGCTAAGCTGGTGTCTAACTCCAACATATATATATATATAGGGTTTATGGTACATATATGTATTCTAATCCAATCTAATCTAATCCAATCTAGTCTTATCCTATCCTATCTATCCATCCATCTATGTCTATCTACGTCTATCTACATCTGTCTATCTCTGCCTATCTATGTCTATGTCGATCTATCTATAGTTCGCGGAGGTTATAAGCCAACCTGTCACTTGCAGGCCCCAACTCGTATATAGGTATAGAACCTCCAAGAATCATGAACATAATTGGTCTATCTGTGAATCATCGAGCGGGCTCTATAGTCACTGTGTCAGCGTACAGGTTTGCAGGGTTTGCTTTCGTCACATCTTAAGGCTGTGATGCTTGGCGTATGGCCAAATCCCAAGACTCAATGCCTTTGCTCAACGGTTAACAAACGGCCAACCGGCCGGCCTTGGTCTTTGCTGCCGGAAAGCAGCCATCCATCAGGGATCGGCTGTGAAGCCGTAAATATCACCACATTTGCCAAC